AAATGAATTATTTTTTTGATGTTCATATTGGAAGAACCCAAAAGACGATTGGAGGAGTGGAAGGTGAGGCGCATGGCAGACTCACAAAAGGCTCTCTCAAGTTCAGCTTCAGAGAGTAACTGTTGAGTAAGTTAGATAAAATGAGCACTAAGAAATTACTATGACTTAAATTTGCATTCATCCAGAAAGTTCCATGAAAACTCAGGGATGAAATAACTAAATTGCTTGTGGTAGTACACAGAGGTTGCAGGAGGTCTTGCATTCTAGAAAAGGAGAAAGATTATATGAAAGGAGGAATGATATGTGATAGAAGACTAACACTCATCCATAATCCCATACTTGCTGCCCCCTTTCCCCCTACAATCAGAATCTGTTTTTCTATCTTATAATATTGGACTTTGCCATGAATGTCTATGATCCAGTGAAATTTTACACCTGCGTGACTGAGAGGCCTTGAGCCGCTTAGATTTTCAGGTAATTATAGACAGAGCTGAGTGTTCTGCAACAGGTGGGAGTTCTGTGTTGTGTTCCTCATATTCAACCTCTATTGCTCTGACCAGGCTTGTCATGCTTCATGCAAAATAAGGCAAATCAAACAAAGTTTCCTTACAATAACTTTAAAAATAAGACAGAATAATCTCTTCCCTCAACCCTCCCCAAAACAAGCATGCAGGCTAAATCAGATTTCTTTACCAACAGATCAAAAAACTTTCAATGATGTCCCTGTGAGGGCACCTAATTTCATACTTATAGTATCAGGAAAAGGATCAACTGCAGTAAATCCTTGAAAACACATTTATATTGCAAGAGCTGTTAGTAAATAGCACAAATAAAATGAGTATTGACATGGTATTTTTTTCCAAAAATACTTGGAAGAGTCTTTTCATAGGCATCAATCAGGAATGAATGCCTTGCATTATTTTGTAAACTGAGAATAAATAGCAGGATAAAAACATAAACTGCTAGCCAGCTAACCCATTAGCTTTATTATAATAATATCTGATAATGTGGATGAGAAGAAAATACAGACTCATTTAGCAAAATACTTTCCTATGTGTGTTATTTGTATGCATGAAGTATTTCTCTATATTGCTAAAGTTAAGCATGAGTCTGGGTCCTTTAATGATAATGGATTTTTTAATGTTTTATTATGTAAATGTGTATTCCTAGCCATTCTAGGAATACACATCTAGCCATTTTCCTTTCCATTTTAAAGTTATAATCAGGGAGCCAAATTACTTAGTTTAAGCAATAATTTTCCCAGACTGTGATTCTAATTAATTAGAAGTTCTTAKGAGTGTCTTCATAACTTCTCTTCCTAAAATAAGCTGCTAAGAATTAACCAAAATAGTGAAACACTATGAGTGAATAAGACCAAATCTGTATGGCTTCCACTGAAAACATTATTCTTTTCCAAGTAAGTAGTGGATGACCAGGTTTTAGGGATAACCTGTCCCTTTCCTGTCCACTGTGATAGTGTTTTATCTGGAAGCTATTAGCTCAAGCATGTTTTTTCATTTCTACAGATACTGCATTTATCCATGCAGGCTCCATTCTCAGTGGCTTACAATTATAAATAAGACATCAGTAAAATGTTAGAAACAAATGGAGGGAGTTAAAAAAAAAAAGAAAGTAAAAGTAAAAGAAAACAGAAGGAAATGGTGACATATCTTAAACAGCCCAAGGGTGATTAAACAACACAAGTTGAGGGGAGGGAAATGGGGCAGAAAAGCAGGTAGATATAGGCAGGAAAGGAGAAGGTGAGCAGCAAAAAAAACTGATGAGACTATGTCATGAGAGGTCTAGGGTCAAGACAATTTCTCAGTCATATCTGTCTAGAGAATCAGCGACATTAATAGCAGCCATTCATAAAATTCTTTTCTCAGTTACATGTTTTTCATTTCGTTATCTTCAGGGCCTTCTCAAGACTGCAGTAAAACCATGTAGTCTAGTTGCAAAACTGCTGGGAACCAAAAGGAGCAAAATCATGGGATGGTACCTCTTGCAGTTATTCACATTGTGATTTCAATGGCTGGGGTCAACATTATGTTGATATGAATAAATAGAGAAATATTCAGAAGGACAGTGCTATTTTTATGTCATAATTCTTCTGTGATTAGCATGATTTCAATGCATAGATGTGTTGACCAAGAAGATTTTCCCATTAGGCATATTCTGACTAAATGTAGTAGTAGAATGTGGCATAAAGATATTTCATATAGTGATGAGCACTGTAGGAATTATAAAGACATTAGCAGAGAAATTGACTTTCTTTGGGATCATCCATTAAACTGCTGAATTTTACAATAAAGATGATAGAAATTTTGGGAGCCTGTTACATTGATAGATGAGTCAGTAGATAGATTATCAGTAGTATATAATAGAGAAAAATAGTAATATCAATCATTATTTTGCTTTTTTTGTGTGCCTAGGCACAAGATCTGTGCCAATGGTAAATGATGGTAGAGCACAGCCTTACCTTTTTACAAATATTTAACAAATCAAATTGTCTGGGATGAGAATCCAAATTAAACATTACCTAACTCTACAATGATTTAGAGCTAGTCACAGATAACCCTAGAAAAGAACATACTGAGATGCTTCATGGTCATGAAAGCAAATGTGTTATTTTTGATAGTAAGACCACACAGTTCAAACAGGAGATTTTACCCAAGTTATGTGAAATGCAGCTGTGCAGCATTTCTAGAATACTGCTAACTGAGACACTATTTTAATGAAGATGACCTTCCAAAGGCCTGCAGGACCAGTGCATTTAACCATCCAGAAACCATCCTAAGAGAGTTGCTGAAAGGGTAGCATAAACAGCAGGCCTACAAACTGTTTTCTTGTGTGTCAAATTTATTACACTCTTCAGCATTTTAGGAACGTTTCCATTTGATAACAGAATTATGAGAGGCCTGTTTTGCATTTTGCCTAAGTGTCACCTTAAAAAAATTGAACGCCTATTTCCAAACTGCAATTCCTGACCTCTTGTGGGGTTGAACACCAAGATAAGGGGATCAGAAGCAAGCGAGGGTGGAACTCATGTTGACAATATTCAGTCTTGTTTGCTTCTGCTGGAGGATAGCTTGTAGAACTAGAATGAAAACTCTTACGTGTGCAAAATGAACTTTTGTCACAGATGCTTTGTCCATCCCATTACATCCTTCTGTGCTTCTGCAAAGGGAAGCATTTGTATTTAAGAAGGAATGACTCTCACTGGTGTTTTACTTCAAAAAGTTAATGTTTGTAAATGTTATCCATTAACTAGGGTTAATATAATTAGTTACTCTTTGGTCTTCTAATTTTTTGTAATATTCCAGATTTTTAGGTGCTGTTAATGCATCATTTATTCAGGTTGGGAGAGAATTTTAGTGTCTGTGAAGTGAAGACAGTTTACTCCCAACCAAGTTATATCTTATAGCATGTATTCAATTCGTGAATTTTGCTTTAAGGGCAACCTTTACTTTGTTTTGTCTTGTTTTGTTGTTCATTTCTGTGAAATGGCTTCTGTGCAGCAGAAAAGCAACAAAATGTTCTTTAAAATGTACTATTCCATGTCAATGGTAATTAGAGATGGGCCAATGCTACAGTAGATTACTGGTCAACACTCACAGGAATTGAGTCAATACTCCAGGAATGTAGGCAGAAAGTGAAAATTTTCTTGAATTCTTTACATAAATTTGCAGGAATACAGAGATTTAAATTCAAGGAGCTATAAGAAGTGATCTCTTGAATAATACTGACCAAGTGTTTGATTATAAATTAGCTCAGTTGCTAAACAAGAGTGATAAGGATTTCACTGTTGCCAAAACTGCAAGGGCTGTGGAACAAGCAGTAGGTTATTTGTTCCAGTCCAAGTATTGGTACTTCACTTGCACATCTGAATAAATTATTAAAGGAATGGGATTCAATGGTTACTGCGGTAAAGTAAATTTTCCCTTTGATTTTGGTAGACCAATGATTTGGTCTGAAATGGACACCAGAATGATTTGTGTAAATGAATTAAGAATAATTACACTATTTTTAGCAATGGTTCAGTAGTGCCGAGTATTTTCTGAGCTGCTTCATAGATATATTTACTTGTGAGTTTTAATACTAACTTACAGCCACAGAATGCTGCTTGTTTTTACGCCTGTCACTCCAACATTACCTTCCAGACACTAACTGTCTTGCTGTAGAAGAAATATTCAGTAGCTAAACTGAGCAGCAGCTTCTTTGGATTTGATGAATTTTGCACCTGGATGTCTGTGTCTCAGGTACAAATATGTTGATTTTTTTTTCTCTCAAGCTGAAGTAAGCTGTATTCCAAAAATGAATCCACCTCAGTCTCTCCTCATCCAGTAAACAAAAAAATCTGACATGCTTCAGCTACCTTTATTGAAAGTTGTGGCAGTTAATACATCTCTAATGCTTATGGAATATAAGATGATATAAAAAAGAATTAGGATGGATCTTAACTAATGGAAGAGAGGACAGAGTAAGAAAAGATGGAAGGGAGAGATCTGTGTAAACGAGAAACTACTCGTAAACTAGCTCTTCTCAGATGTTGCTTAAATATGCATGTAGAATGAATGAAAATGAAGATATTTCAGGAGAGCATTCTACATTTAAATAAATGAAAAATAAAGAAAAAGAAAATACAGTCATATAATGCAGAACAAATTTCTTCCAGCCTTTTGCACAGACATGCATTTACAGATTTTTTATCTGTCCCTCTAAAACCACAACAAACAGTTGGAAATACAACATAGATCCCTGAATTAGGGGAGAGTCAAACTAAAGAAGCAGCTGGACTGAAAAGCAACCAGTACTTCTACATTATTTCTTGCTCAATTGAATTTTTAGCCTTACCAGTCTTGCATGGTTTTAATCCAAAATGTTTCCAAGAGCTGAGTTAATTGGTGAAATATCGTAAAGTTAGTTAACTCCCCTGCTAGGAAATGGGCTCTCCCATTTTTCTCACATGATTATCTAGGCACTTTCACTTTTCCATATATAGGAGCAACACAGGGACTGACAGATCAAGCCAGGTAGGGCTGCAGAGCAAAGGCACATGCATACTGCCTGCACACACATGCAGATACAAGCAGGTGCTGGTTTCACACACTGAAATTCAAGTTGGCGTAAGAGGTAGTGACTGAAAGCAGTAGTAGTTCTGCTGGTGCAGAACCTTCTCCCTTAAAAGAAGAAGGCGCTGAAGTCAGAACTCTTCATCTGCTGTTGAATAATCTGTCAGGAAAAGCATCACAATCATGAATGGACCAGTGGATGGCTTATGTGATCACACGCTGGACGATGAGGGGGCTTTCATGTTCACATCAGAGTCTGTAGGAGAAGGACATCCAGGTAAGAAATTGGCTATGGCAAATATGTAAGAGGTGTAATATTTTTATTTACAGTCTCTTTTTAAAGGCATGACAAAGAATTTGTTCATTATTAGTATTATTATAGAAGGGATTTGAAGCATGGTACTTCTTTTATTATTTCCATTGTACCTTGTTAGTACAGACTGTAGAGATGTGATAACAAGGGTGTTTCCAACAGAAGTTCCTGTGCCTTTGCTGGATGTGTGTTACACCAGGGAGGGCAATGGGGTTCGTTCTTGCTGCTCCTTCCCTTTCATCTGATTTTTTTTCACTGTTCCAGTGGAGACACGACTGTATCCCCAATAGGCTCGAGTTTCCCATATGGATAAGAATGCATTACTTGCTTCTCAAGTTCCATATCCTTATGGGCTCTGTGAAACACTCCTGCGTGCATGCTGTGCTCTAAAACGGTCTGACACCCATCTCCAGAATATCTCTTAAGCAAGCTATTTTAAAGCCTTTAAATTCAATGGTCTCAGCAGCTGTACATGGCAGAGCTGCTGATATTTTTTCCCCATTCGATCATCTGTCTTTTGATGCAATATATGGAATTGCTTAAGCAAATAGTGGATAGTTACTTGCTAAATAGTATGGTCAGCAGAGTTTAGTTCAGTTTTATTGAAAACGAATGTTCACCTGCCACAAATACGTACCTTATGTCAACAGAAGTGTTCCCCCAAATGAGGCCAGGGGACAATAGGCTGTTTGATGTCCTGAAAAGTGTATTTATTTTAGAAGACCATTTGGCATCTTGTACCTTCTGCTATGACCAGGTTTTTTTCAGGTCCATACTCATGTTATGCGAATAAATCATAAATTGGAGTGATGACAAAGCAGTGAAGAAAAAGWAGTAGTACGAAAACCACTTTTGTATCTATAATTCCAATACATTTCTACAAGATTACCTGTATTACTGCAGAAAGAGTCCACAGCTGATGCAACTGACTACCTTTTTTTGGTTTCAGGGCAGCCACATCAGGTTAAGCCAGTTGAGGTTCTTTCTGATGTAACAAGGTCAGAAAATGACAGACACATTCAGTCCCTGGGACATAAGTCCCTTCTCAAATTTATATATAATTACACCTGGTGAGTTGGGAAATATAATTCTGTAGGAAAAATAAGGTATAATTGTTATTCCCAAAGATGACAGGTCACAACTTATGCTACCCTAATCATTATTTTTAATTTCTTTGGGGCAGTAATAGGTAAGTCCCAGAACAAGAGATCTAGTTCAGGTTACTCCACATAGATTTAACTTTGTCCCTTAGCTTCCCTCATTCAGCAGTTCATGTCTTGCTTCTTGATGTGAACCTGTTTTTCAGTTCTTACATTCCTTTCKTTACTCCTAAAAAAATCCATTGGTCCTTCTTGACCTTCTCCAAAGAACGTTATCCTTCTCCTGGTTAGAAATATTCAGCAGGCTGTCAGGAAAATGTTATAATTTGTTAGATAGATCTCTGGGTACTTCCCGATGCACACCAAGGAACACAAGAGGCTCACTGTAGGTGAAGGAGTGGAAAGTGAAACTTACTGGGACTTTTCCAAAACCAGGATGYTTACACTTTCCTAAGCAACATTAAACCTACAGACACCACAAAATAGAGATCCAGAATTTCCARATGAATGGAGGCTGACAGTCGCTCTGTGTGGCTATATGAATTCTTGTTCCCAGGCACAGCTTGGTAATAGATCTTAAAGATCTGGGCAGTAGGTCTGATTTTTGACAGCAAATTAATCACCTTTATATCCTGGCAACCCACCCTTTTTCCTGCCTATGTTTTTGCACCACAGATGTGGAAGATGGCCAGGAAATTTTTGACTGTTTCTCAAAAGTGGCATCAGCATCTAAAGCTGTATTTGGGCTTTTGATCTTGTCAGTAGAACTAGAATATTATGAGGTCCTGTGATGGATAACCACGGATAATGGATAATAAGCCTGTTCCTATTTGCTTCCTTTTTGTATGTGCTACTATAATTTTGTTAGAGTCTTATGCAAAGTAAATATCCTGAACCATATCCTTGTCTGGTAGAATTCTGACTTGTTCTAATTACAGTAGTTGAAGATTTTTGCTCTCACATAGACCTCATTCTTAAGAAATGAAGAGGGAGAAATTATATATTTAGGTATAGACAACTGCCACATACCTATGCAACGCTTAAATGTTCCGTGTAACTAAGAAGCCCAAATTCCATAGAAGCATTTAATGTTAGACCATAATTAATACTCTGATATTACTCATGTTCTGCAAAAAACTTTATATAAGACCTTTCTTATTCCATCTTCTCTGTCCAGTTCTTCTACATCATCTATGTGTTGAGTTCAGCATTTCCTTCCAGAGGTCTTGAAATTTTGGAATTTAGTGGAACTAATTCCAAACTCCCAGAAGCCTTACATGTAGCTTTATTTAATTATTAACATGTAGCATTTATTAATAAAATAAGTGTGTAGATAACAGCATGAGGAAGAGGGTTGGTTTATTGTTCAATAATTGGTTTTGCCCCTGCTGCATTTTGCGTTGTTCTGGAAAAGTGTCTGTGCTGCACAAGGGCCTCATTGTGCTTTGGAAGACATTGTGTGGTTCTGTGGCCCGCAGTGTCTTACAGGTGCCAAACCACTTACGATTAATTCCTCCTTTTTTTTTTTTTTTTTTTCTGATGTAACTTCAGGTGGAATTGCCTGCAAACTCGTAAGTCAGTTCTCTAATAAGTATTTAGGAGTCTTTAGAAACATGATCGAATATTATCTACTAAAACCAACCTCAGATTTTCATGTATGTTAAGCAAGAATCCTTTTTTTTAATTTTTACAGAATAAAAAAGCACACAAAGAAACCCAGAAAACACATTTTTTTTTTCCCAGCAGGTAGATGCTCATATGTCTTATACCTAACAATGCTATATATACTTAACATTTAAATAAAGCTTATGTAAACTATGTATTGAACAAAAAGAACAAGTGTACAAGCTTATCTTGTATATTCCTTGACGCCTTTTCTTTAAACAGTAGTGTTAATATTGAACTACCTTGCCTTTTTCAATTAACGCTCCTCAAGAGTCTTTTAAATACAACACCAAAAATACAATAGAGGGAAAAGTCAGCTATTCAAGTCTTTCATGTGATTTTTGGGGAGTGAAAAGCATATTATTTAAATTAAGTGCTCTTCATAAGTATCTGCATATCTTGAAACTTTTGTTCTTTCATCATGAAACCATGAATTGCTCAGCTGATCATACTGTGAGTGTATAATTCCTCTTTATACTTTAAAATGGTTAGTCTGTGTTGATGTAAATAACGTATCATTAAACACATAGCTACCTAATATTATTCTGGTGTTCACTGTTTTTAAGAATATTAACCAGACCTTTTGAAATGTCTGATGTTTGTTGAATTTACTACTCAGTCAAGGCCAGAATTGTGGCTGAACCTGTTTGCTCTGCTTCAAAGACAGAGCTTTTTTGAAATAGAATTTTAGTGGTTGCGGTTGTTCGTGCATCTTTTTTTTCTCATTTGACTTCTTGAAACCAAACTCTTGGGGATGTCCTGAGAACTTGGAGTTGCCACTGATTTTTGTCTAGAGTGGTTCATTTTTAAGTTCATCCCTGAGTGTTAGGCTCTTATTTGTTTAATATAGGCTGAATTCACATAAATCTATGTCCAACTGTATGGAAAATGTATAATGTGAAGATTCCCCTAATTAGTGGAGATCATCTTTGTTGTTGAGTGTCTCCTTACCTCCTACTTCGACATGCAGGCATTTGCATGTGGTTTGTTGTCAGCACTCCCAGACTTGTGTGCTCTCTTTACAGCTAGCAGGAGCTGTTTGTACAACTACCTGCATCTCTGCTGAATGAGCTGGGTCTATATGGAATAATGGGATTTTTGTTAAGGATTCATGGGTTTCTGATACTTTCCTGCTCGGTCAAGAAATCCTTAGATTACATATCTGTTTTTTTTCAGTCCTACCCTAGTGGTTCACTACATGAAGATGTGCATCAGCAGGATTCAGATCTCTTACATGTAAGAGGTTCCTGGTGTTTTTCCCTCAAATTATTAGTTGATGGTCCCTAAATATCCTGTCATATTTAGCAGCTAATAAGAGAACTTGAACAGCTGAGATGAGAAATTTAAATAACAGAATGAAGAGTGCTCAAAGCCTCCTAAGCATTGCTAAAAATAGAGATGCCTGCTTCTATTTTACATTCAAGACCTTGAGTAATAGACAGCTGAATTTCCTTTAATTTAATGCATTAATCAGCTGATTATCTAGCTAGATTTCTCTTTCACGTCTCAATAGTTGTATGTATATTGGTCAATAAAAGCATCTAGATGCCCAAGCAATACTAACAGTCTGAAATGGCATGAAGTGGCAACCTGATTTGTCTCAGCCTATTTTCATTCAAAAAGCACAGTAAAATGTATTATTTTAATTCATTATTTTCCTATGAAAATCCTCACATATGTTTTAAAGGCCAAAAATATAGACCTTTGCTATAATCTGACCTTCCTTCATATACAGATAATTAAAAGAAATTTTTAAAAATATATCCAATTTTTCTTCAGGGATCTGAAGAGATAAAGAATCCTGCATGCCTTTGGATGAATGGATTTTAATGGTCGTTACTCTCCTATTTCTAAGATTTTGATTTTCTGAAACCTTCTTTCATCAAAAAAATGTGATGTTTAGGTACTCTAGGGATTGTGATATCAATACCTATTAGTATATCCCCTGGTTGGCTGCCTTTTCTTCAACCTTTCAGAACTGAATTGAGTTTGACTAGCTTCATCCTGTAGGATATGCTTTCTGGTCTTGGGGCATCCTTCTGCCTTGTCTGAAATCTTCCCACAGCTTCTTAACATTGTCAAGAATGTTGAAATACTACCACAAAAAGCAGTATTTCTGTAGCAGCCTCACTAATGCTGTAAATTGAGGTAATTTCATTTCCATGGATGGGTGTTCACCTGTCATGAATGTCATGATGGGTTTTCTGTCATGAATTTTCCAAATGATGCTTTCCCAGAACAAAGTTTTCCATTCTGTAAATGCAGGCTGTGTTCTTAGCTCATAAATATTTGCTGTATTATTTCACGTCTGAAAGGGAAAGGGAATCTGTAAATATCCATAAAATACTGTAGATGTAGAATACTAATATATTTCATCTCATCCCTTCTGACCCCACAATAAAACAACATGATAACCTCCTGCTACATCCTCACTCATTGGTTTTACTGCTCATTAGAACTAATACTGCCTGGGGGAATATTAGGGAAGCTTTAAGCCATAAATTAGATTTAACCACAGCATGCGAAGCCAACAAACACAAGGTTCTGTGTACCAGGTAAGTGTCACAAAGAGAAATGAGGATGAATTAGTTGCGTTTGGTAACCTCTTGGGTTTTTTTGGAAGAAAATACGTATCCCTGTATCCTTGTATGTGCCAAGAGGAAACTTGCACAAATCTGGAGATACTGAAATCTAATGAGGGTGAGATGCTTTCTGTGTCACATGGAAGGGATAAAGATTGTTACTGGTGTAGAAATGGCTGTTTTTTTTCAAGTAGAAATGGAAAATTTCAAGAGATACCAAACAAAGTTCATTTGGACTTAATTAACTAAATTTCAAGAATAGCATCCAATTCCTATCTGATTCCTATTTTGTAGTAGCTGCTCAAATGCAGTAATCCATAAACAGTTTTCAAGTGACTGAAAGATCCAATCTAGCATAAATTTTCTACTAATATTTTGTGATTTTTTTTATGTATTCAAATGGTTAATATGGGAGAAARGAGTGTTAGAATCACATTAGTTGTCTAATCTCTGCTTTATCTCTGTTAGCTAAAAATGCACTTTTCTCTTGAAACTAAAAGATTATTTTAATTTGAGAATAAATGTGTTAGAAATTTCAAATGGTGCAGCAATACAAATCGTTGCTTTCCAATATGTTGTGTTGCACAGCGGCAAGTCAGGAGATTCGTTTGTTTTACTGTACTTCATGTTATAGCAACAACTAAGCATTGTGTACAATTGTGGGCTTTTCTTTTTCAGTATGGAGTAAAGCCTCTTAGCCTCTCAGGTAAATCTATGCATAACGTACTTATTTCTCACTTACATMTGGAAAACTGTAGCTGAAGTTGTATTCAGTTTAATTTACACCAGTAATTCCTCATTCCCTATTGTGCGTGTGTGTATGTGTGTATCTGTGTTATATATGTATACACACACACATGCATGTTTATATATGTGTGTTTCATATTGCTTTATTCTTCATTTAATTAGCTTCAACACTTTAGTAATAAGCAATAAAAGAGTTCTTTGCTGAAGCCTCTCCCTATTCAAAATGATGTAAACAGTCCATGTTTTGTTTGAAGGCTCTGGGCTTGAGTCATGACTTTGATGTCTTCCAGATAAAATCTGCGATCAAATCAGTGATGCTGTACTAGACGCCCATCTCAAACAGGACCCAAATGCCAAGGTTGCTTGTGGTAAGTTTGCTGCTTTGTTTTAGCTCCTGGCACCATCACATCCAGTCACTGCTCTTTTTGTGACGCGCTTGCAAAATTTGATACTGTCATGTGCCAACTTATTTTTACTCTGAAATAATTATGTAAAAATTGCAATCTTCTAGAGAAGGAGAGATGAGAAGAAGCAAAAAAAGTTTTTCTGAAGACTTAGTTTTGAGCAGCATACAGAAAGGTAGTATACTGTAGAAGAGTAGGATAGTTAATATAGTATGTGCGTATAATATTCCTAGGAGAATGAAACTGAATTTTTTATAGTGAATTTTTCAGGGACAATTTTGATATTTTCTTAAAAAAAATACATTTGCTATATTTAGTGAAGGCTTGTTTTTTTCAGTCTTAGTTGCACATAACTTTTTTTTTTTTTTTTTTTTCCTGATTACTGTGCAGAGAGTTGTACCATAAATTCTGGGCTCCTCAGCCTGGTTCATTCACTACATGACTATATCTGAGGGGGAGATTCTTCCTTGTGGCAGGCTGGAACCAAGTTTGCAAAGAGCTGGTTGCTGATGAGGATTGTTTGACCCAAGTATGAACCTGAGAGTGATTAGGGCACTAGAAATTGCATCTGAATGCCATGTTTCCCTGAACATCTGGGCATATCACTGAGACAAGCTCAGTGTTCTGGCTCTCCCAGTTCTAAATTAAACATACTTGATTTTTCTTACTTTCAGACTTGGGGTGAATGTGAAAATCTTTTGTTGTTGAAGGAGCTAGGACTGCTAATAATATGGGCAAAAGGTACTTACAATTTAAATGCCCAGCAGTTCTCTTTAGATCATCATCGTCACAAGCATATTTATTCCTAATATTGCTTTCCTAATAATGCTTCTGTAATCCTGTTTTCATCTCACTTTTCAGAGACAGTGTGCAAGACAGGGATGGTGTTGCTGTGTGGGGAGATCACGTCTCTTGCTATCGTGGATTATCAGCGAGTTGTCCGAGATGCAATTAGACATATTGGCTATGACGATTCAGCTAAAGGTTGGTGGAAAAAATCATGAAATCCTTAAAYAGTAGGCAATTGACAACTGCCTGACAGGTCTGTCACCACTTCTGAATCTGAACTTCAGCAAGCCTGATAAAAATTGAATATCCCATATGAAGGCACATTGCAACATGATGCACATTCTGGGTTTATCCCACTAAGTAGAAAAAACATCATGTATTAGTTGAAACTTAAAAGGAGCGGGCAGGACATACTTGGAAAAGTATGTACCGTTAGGGTAGAATAGAGTTAACTGCAAATTTAGCCACAGAATTTACCGCTCATTCAAACTTGTCAGCACTTGAATTCAGCACTTGAATCTCTCCTATTCGTTTGGCAAGTCGATGCATCTTGGTGAGAAAGAGAAAGAAGAAGAAACTTGCTTCATTTTATTTTCTCACTATGTATTTGTCTGTTCAGCCCCTGTGATTCTCAGGCGTAAAGCAGGTCCTCATTGTGCAGAATGATTTGTAAATTTGTAACAAATTCCTATACTGAGGTCAAGTTTTTGTACAAATGATGAAAAGGGCAAAGTAATTTTTATCCCTGACATACTTCATTTTCCTATTCACAGTGTATCTCTTTATTTATACATTCAAAATATAAATGCTGTTACCAGGGAGCATATCCTTTAAGAGCTTTTGGTTAACAGCTTTTTTTTTGCAGTCCTTTAATTGCTATATATTTTCCATGGAGATTATAATGGGAGAGTATTGCAGTGGCACATCTGCAGATTACCTGCAGTACTGGCAAAAGTAGTATTTCATAAGCTTCCGTTTTAGCCTAGCCACTGATAATTTTAAGGAAAAATACAGCGACCCACTAGAAAAACAATAGCTTCGCTTTGAAAATAAAAAAACTAAAACACAAAATTGCACACAGACCTATATTTTCCTTCTGTATATAGCCTTTTCAAGAGGGGATGAAGAGCACTATTCAAGTGGATAATATGAATGTATATATGTGTTGTATTGTCTGTACATGAGTTCAGTCAGCAGCTGACAGTAGCTACAGTTTTGGGAAATACAGGATTTGAACTGAAGCAAAAGTACCTAGAGAAAGAGGTGGAAAATTTTGCAATAATCACCTGGAAATTCTTGAATTCGTTTTTAAAATCTTTGAGAGTAATCTAAAGTAAAGCTCCATGTCAAGCAAGGTCTGCTGCAGATCTTGCAGATCATCTTGGATTTTTTTTCCTTCTGCGGTTCTTAGAATTTAGGTACGTAAGCTACTTGTACCTACATTATATGTAGCATATCAGAGATCATAGCTTCCAGTTACTGAAAACATCACCTCACAGGAATTTTTATAGATGTTTTTAGTATTAGTTTTTGGGAGAGGCTTGATGTTTGCTTTTTTGACTAGTTTTCTGCATTTAGCTATTCATAAACTGAATCAGCTTTGCACAAGATATCAAAGCAAGAGAGGACTAGCAGCAATGGAGAGATGGAAGGGAGAGCAGGGACCTGCTTTTTGGTGGTGATCTGTTAGGTAAGCTGAAACTGTAATGTTTAGCTTCATTCCTGGATTTATACCTTCTGGCCAAATACCTTGTGAGGTAAAACTTCCTTCTAATTTTGAATATCCCAAAAGCAAGCAAGCAAAGTAAGCYTGTGTACACTCATCCCCCCCCGCCACAAAAGCTTTGGAGTATCATACTGACAAAAATTTAACCAAAAATAGGAATTAGATTATGGATTATGAATGTCATCCTTCAGGATAAAAATTTTGGTGTAAGGTTCCATATTACTTTCCTTAATTGTGGCAGAAAAAAACTAATTCACCACTGTGCTTCCTTCTGAATAGGCTTTGACTACAAGACTTGTAATGTTTTAGTGGCACTGGAACAGCAGTCGCCTGATATTGCCCAGGGTGTTCATCTACACAGGAATGAAGAGGATGTTGGTGCTGGAGATCAGGTGGACAAGACTTATCACATTTAAAACATCAAGTTGTTTGAATAGAAGGAACTTACCCCAACTCATACCTTATTATCTAAATCAAAAACTCTCTGAAGTTTGATTTCTAAATCAAAAACTGCACGCTTTCATCTTGGACTAGGTCAGAAAACAAAACTATATTTTTCTGAAAGCGGTTGCCAGTTCTTTGAGGGCACACAGTTGCCGGTGTTTGTAATGGCACTCCACGTGTCAGGAGAGATCCAGCTATTTTTGGTAGCCTAGGATGTGGTCCTGAGAACTTAGCTGAGTTTTTTTGCTAATGTATTTCAAGTTTTCTTTCGAGTAGCGTTAGATTTCTCAGACCACTCAACTTGCAGCTAGACTTGTCTAAAATGGAATAAACAAAGGATCTTAACACTTTCACAGAGCTCTTGAGATTTTACACAGCAAAAAAAATTAGAGGTGATATTTCAAATATCTGCAGCATTAGTAAAATGAAGGCATATATTCCAGAATACTTTTAATGCTTACTTATTTCCCAGGGGCAGAAATCTATTTTATTATAATAGGTGCTCCACATAATTAAGGCTGTCCAAGCTGCATTTCTGTGAGCTAAATAACACATGTAGATAATTACAGTGTGTTCCCAAGAGAAAGATGCTAACGTAAAAACTCTATAATCCGACTGATGCCAGGATGAATATGTTTAACATTTACAGTTATTCTCATTAGTATTAATACCTACTTTATAGTAGTGCTGTTGAGAACTATAAATGGAGATATCTTAGTCTAGGAGCCAAGCTAATATTGTTCAAATAACCCTAGAGAATTAAATTAAAATGCTTTTATGCTGTCATGGGGACATAATGCTACATCAAATAAAAGGGTATCTTACTTTCTTTGACATTTTCATGGCCTTCCTTACCGTTGTATCTGAATAGCTTCCTGCCTTTATTGCTTTTGTATCGCAACATCCATTGGGTGAGGTGAAAGGAAGTGCTAACTCGATTTAATAAATGGGAATCTGATATAGGGAGTATGGCTGAGTAATAATAGAAGCCATGACTTCCCCAAGGATGGGCTAGAAGCATTGCAAGTCTGAGCCAGGTTACCTACATGTTGTGCTTCCTTGACGTAGTAGTCAGATTCTATTCCAGTGGAGAAATACCAGAAATATTAGGTGCAAGCTGCAGTGTAAATGTGTCTATACATTAAACTCTCTAGGGCTTTTTCACACTAACAAGAACACTTTTTGTATCACTAATGAGAGTACCTTTAGTATCGCAGAATAATCCTGGAATTCTGTTTTGATCAAACAGATCTTTTCTTCTATGGAAAAAAGACTTTTTTCAGAGAAAGTTGTGGGGTTTTGTCTGCATCCTTCATCATGTAAATATTCAGGCCCTCAGTGAAAAATTCTTGGAAAATTATTTGTTGCTTGTTCTGTTGGTACATGTTGCAGACTGATTGGTGTTTTGGCTTCTTGGACAAAAATGTAAAATAGTGGAAAATAAACCTGAGGGCTGTTTACTTTTTGTCTCAGGAGAAATCTTGTGGTCTTTGCTTTCAGTGCTTTGAAACATCTCATCTCCTCCCATTGTAGGGTTTGATGTTTGGCTATGCAACAGATGAGACAGAAGAATGTATGCCTCTGACGATTATTCTTGCTCATAAACTGAATGCCAAGCTGGCAGAGTTGAGGCGCACTGGAGAACTTCCTTGGCTGAGACCGGACTCTAAGACACAGGTAAATACACTTTCGTATTAATTTCGTTCTTTTTGCCACCATAGTAGCATTCCAGTCACTTTTAGGTAGTCCAAACTGCTGGGAACTATCGCTTTTCTGCTTTCCAAAAATTGTAAGTATTTTTAAAGAGAGCAGTTGATATTTGGAATATTAGGATTCCTATTATGTGTAACCTAGAAGTAGAAAATAAGGCATTTCCAATGCTTTTGCTCTTGTATCCTTGTCTGTTRGAAAACGGTTAACTTGTATCACGGTGTAAGCAGCAGTTAACTGTCTACTAATGGAAAAACATTTAACCCCTCAGAGCTAAGCACTMTTAGCTTGTTTGAAAGGCAAGGCTTGGTTGAAAAAGTGTCAGAAAATCCAAAGGATGTATTTGCATCTAGTGATTTGGGCTGACCTTTTTGAAGAAATGCCTAAAATGTAAATTCCTCTGTAACATGTGAATTTACCTGGAGATACTAATCAGAAGACAGATTTTGGGCAATTACATAAGTAAACAGATTGCCTCTATTGGATGTCTCCTTTTTTTTTTTTCTTTCTTCTCTTTTATTCTTTTTTTTTTCCTTTTTCTTTTCTTCTTCCTTCTTCCCTTTTCTTCCCCCTTCTACTGTTTTCTTCCTCCTTCTACTTCCTCCTTCTACTGTTTTCTTCCTCCTTCTACTTCCTCCTTCTACTGTTTTCCTACAATGAACTCTTGGGATGGCATGGCATGGAGTTTGATGTAGACCGATAATACATTTTATAGTATCTTCACTTTTTCTTCTTCCTGTTTCTACCTTTTCTGTTCAGGTCACTGTTCAGTATATCCAAGAGAATGGAGCAGTTATCCCAGTGCGTGTCCACACCATTGTGATATCTGTTCAGCACGATGAATCCATTTCTCTGGAGACTATGCGCAAAACCCTGAAGGACAGTGTGATTCGAGCTGTTGTTCCTGCAAAATACTTGGATGAGAAGACTATTTATCACCTTCAGCCTAGTGGACGCTTTGTAATTGGAGGACCTCAGGTTTGTATTTTATTGCACTCATACTTTATCAGCTTGTCATTGTCATTGGGCATAAGCACATTTTTTTAGAAATGATCATCTTTTCTTGTGTGGCTTTCCTAAGGTGTGAGGCACAAAGAGGCTTATCAGTTCTGAAAATTTGTCTCTAATGGGCTTCTACAGGTGGGAAAAGAATGTTGCTTTGCTTTATCTAGGCGATGAAGGAACTAGGATTTATAACTTAATCCTGCACTTAAAGTCAGACAGAATTTATGCTGTATTTAGGATCAGGACTCTGAGCTTCAGTTTTTGTAAACAAATTTACAGCTTTTTTGGTTTTGCTTCCAGTTCCCTCCAGAACTATCCCAACAAAACTTTCTAAAGTTTTGCTCCTTTTTAAAAAGTAGCATCCAAACAGACATTGTTTTTCCTTTACTATTCAAAATAATCATTTTTAGTGGAATTTGCCAGAACTATTTCTATGGTGGCACCTTTACATTAGTGCCATGGCATACATAGGAAAGTGCTGAAGTTAATCATTATTAACTTCAGCTATTGCCTGTGCTATTGCCTGACTATCTGTATGGAGTCAGATTGATGATATCACTATAATTTTGTGCATCATTTACATTTTAGAATAAAGACAAATCACTGAAGTGACAAACTTGAGCTGTAGCTTGGAGCAAATCAACCAATGTGCCAATAACAGGTACATGCCAAGAAGGCTACCCATAAGTTTTCAGGAGTGCACTGAACTGCAGGAATTTTTTAAAAAGTAGTGTAACTAGCTGTAAGCCCACCTGCAATGCCTTTTCTGCTCTTGCAGTGGAATTGTATAGCTTGTGTTTGCATGTACTAGCACAGGCACATTGCAGCATATGTTTGCAGCTTTTTAAAACTGGGATAAGTTTACTTAGTAGAGGTCAATCTGCCTGTGTGTCCGTGGCCCTACAAGGCCATCACTGGACTTGGGCAATTAATGTGAGTATTGTAGCAACCAAAAAATAACTATTTCATTTCTTATCTGTTAAGTTTTAAACTTTATGATTACTAAAGTATTAAATGTTCTTTTTTAATTAAGCTAGCTGTAGAAGTCTCAAATACCAGCTCTGTTCATTTAAGGTGGACACACTGGAATTTTCACCTTGTATTTTCGAGCACAGTGATACCTTGAATTATGTCTGTGCCAAAATTAGTAATTTTGCAGCATGCAAACACTATTTTTTCAACAGCAGTACCTGCTGGTATCATGAGGATGTTACAGCTCATCACTTCCACACACTTTACAAATTCATTTGTGCTCTTTCAACCTCTTTAAAAAGAGATTTTTATTCTTTTCATGCCCCATCTTCTTAATCATTTCTACAGTCAAGTCTTAATGGCATGAAAGTTGTTCTCATTGCAATCATCTGTGCCATGAGAAATGGAGGTTTGAATCAAACAGATGAACAACTGGAGGAGAGGCTCCTTTAGACAAGCTCAGCTATCTGCAACGCATGTTTCTATCTCATAGATTTTTTTTTGGACAAACTGGCAAACAGTGCTAAAGGTTTTTCTCTGTATTCAGTTTTTTTAAGATCTTTGGCTCTGCGTTTATGTTTGCTGTACAAACATTCCAGCAGTTGAGTTTTATTGGCATAATAGTCCATAGAAAGTCTTTAAAAATTGTGTGCACAGGTGGAAAGTTGATTTCAAATTTGATCATGTTTCCATTCACATGAGAATGCTGAAGCACTTAGGAAATTGGGGATCAGATAATTGTTCAGGTGTTGCTCAATGAGTCAAGATCCAATGCAAATATCAAGTTGTCAAAAGTATCAAAGTAGTATCAAAAGTATGAAAATCAAGGTAGTTGTTTGACCAGTAAGAGGGTCATCTCTGCTTCTGTATTTAATATTTTAAAACAGTCRCAAGTATCTGTTTTAATTCCTCATTTTCGATTACCTCTAACTCCCTATATGCTGTATATTGCTTAAATTGGAATATAAATATTTTAGTGTTGAAAGTTTGTTTTCACACATAGTGGCATGGCATTCTAATGCTGGACTAGAAGTGGTGGATGCTGTACAATTTCTAACTGTGTTAGCTAGCAATGCATTTTTCAAGGGTAAACATAATCATGTCTATTCTTTAGCATCAAATATTCACATAGCTTCAGATTTTAACCAGAAGATACAGCAGCCTGATCCAGGTTTCCTTAACTCAGAAAAAATTTCAATGTGACATGCAATCTGTGCCACATGCTCTAGATGGCCCTGTGTGTACAAGCGGGTTGTACTGGATGATCTCTAAAGGTCCCTTCCAACCTTAAGGATTCTATAGTTCTATGTTGTTTCCTTAGCAAGGGTTCTGTATTTCATTAGAATGCAGTGGAGAGGTCACTTTTAAAAATAGGTATGGGTACCACCAAAATTACTGTAATGCTTTAAATATTTATTTTTGAAACAGGCACTGGAAGCTCAAACTATTCAAGATTTTGCTTGACTACCAAATACTATTTGTGAATAGCTTGTGATACAAATATGACTTTAAGGAACATTCATAGCCACGATTGTATCTCCGTGAGACAAGTTTATTCATTCAGCTACACACAAGCATCCACAAGTGTCTGCTTCAGTTACAGTTTAGTGCCTTCTTCATCAGGATTTACATCTGTGTTTGAGGATTATAACAGTATGGATTGCAAAATGGCAGAATTCTTTTCCTGATGCAGGGTGATGCTGGTGTTACTGGTCGGAAGATCATCGTGGATACTTATGGTGGATGGGGAGCCCATGGAGGTGGAGCCTTCTCTGGCAAAGACTATACCAAAGTGGACCGCTCAGCAGCATACGCGGCCCGCTGGGTGGCCAAATCCCTTGTGAAGGCTGGGCTCTGTCGCCGTGTTCTGGTTCAGGTTTGCTTTARCCCGAGTTTAACTGTTCTTAAGGTTTCCTTTTCAGCTTTTCCTTGAATGAACATAGCTAGGTGCAGTGCTAGAATACTAGACACAGTCCTGAGAATTTAATTAGGGTGGGGGAAAGAGGACCAAGGTCCTGGATGTGCTTGGTTGAAGACCACTGTAGTGTAGCTAACAGCACGTGAGTTCCTTGAAGCTTGGCTTTCTTTTTATTGGCTCTTTTCCTGGACTTTTACTGAGCCCTCAGCAACCTGCCACTTGCTGTCATGGAGGTGAGCACTGGATGACTCAATGAAGGGGACAAAACTTATCCAGGCAGGTCAGAATTTTCAAAGATTTCCTGTTTTTCTATTAATGTAATTTGTGCAGTTATAGGAAGTAAAGGAGGGGCTGTACTTTTCCTAAGATGGCTCATGAATGAATATTTTGGTTTGCTGCTGACTGAGGTTACATCCATGTTTATGGACTATAGCATCTTTTTTGCCATAGGTTTCTTACGCCATTGGAGTAGCTCAGCCGCTGTCCATTTCACTGTTCACTTATGGAACATCCCAAAAAACAGAGAAGGAGCTCCTGGACATCGTGCACAAAAACTTCGACCTTCGGCCCGGAGTCATTGTCAGGTAGAGTAATAGCAACACGTGGGTAGGAAAGTATCTGCATGATCACAGCCTAGAACTGAGCCTTGCAAAGCTGTTAGATGTTACAATGAAGAGGCAGTGATAGAGAAGCCCCCTGAGCTCACATGGAATTACTCCATGTAGGGATATATATATATATACATATACACACACACACATATGTATATGTGTGTGTATATATATATTTATAATATATAAAAAATATATTTTAATATATACACATATGCATGTATATATCTATATACATATATGTGTGTGTGTATATATATATATTAATCATTTTTCAGAGCTTAAAAATTTTATGAATCTACCAGTGTGCTGTATCTTCTAAGATAGCACAAGCAGTTCTCAAATTCCATATGAAGCATAAAGCTTTCAGCATTTGGCCTTRTCTAGTATATGGAATGGAAATAAAATATGTTTTGGCTTCCAAGAGTGTTACCTTGCTTTTACAGTGCTGTGAAAAAGAGAAAATTGTATTTAAAAAAATTAACCGATAATACTCCTCCTTTTCTGTTAAAATTAATAATTATTCATAATTAATAATTCCTCTCTAGCCCTAGAGTACATCACATTTAAGTTTTCTTTCCACTTTTATGGTTTTCCTATTGGGTATATTCATTGATATGTTTGCATTTGAAGAATATGGTCACTAGCTTGAAGGCATGGAATAGCCATTGTGGTAAATGTCATAAAGTATCTTAACATGAAGAATTCTTCTTTCTTTCTCCCTCTCTCTTTTTTTTTTTTAAATTTTTATTTTTATTGTATACACAGGGATTTGGACCTAAAAAAGCCCATTTATCAAAAGACTGCATGTTATGGTCATTTTGGGAGAAATGAATTCTCATGGGAGATACCAAAGAAACTTGCATTTTGACAATAACCGTCTACCTTTAAAACAAAGGGAAGTCCAATAACACTGAAGCTACTTCCAGAAATCAAATTTTACGGCTATGTATTCAACAAAAAGAGTTTCAGATTTTAAATGGAAAGAAAGAAAATGTTATTTTCATGGAGATTGATTTTTTTAGCCCTCAATATCTTTCATTATCTAAGATATAAAAGGCAGAGTCTGGATTTTTTATCAGCAGAATGCAACAAAATAGGTTATTTTTTATTGCTGCTCTGTTGTTCTTTTGTGATAAAAGCAGAACATGACTCAGGTACACAAACCGTGGCTGAACCTCAAATCTTGCATGGGCAATGGGTCAGTAGATCTCTTGCTTCTGATTACACAGTGGGAAATTCTGGGGTCCAATTTCCTTACCAGAGTTAACACTGAATATGTCTGTGGGTCATTTTAATGGAAGAAGGCTGAATATTGCATAAATCTATCTCAGCCTTTTCTGTACAAGGTGTTATCATATGCATAATATTTAAATCTTCATGGGGTATGTGCTGTTACTGCTATGTTTCAATTACCTGTGTTTTTGAAACGTGTGTACTCCTATAAAACAACAATCATTCAATAAAATGCTTGTTTCCTACCATGTATTAAAAGGCACTGCTCTGTGTGTACATGTGTCTGTGCATGTGTGTGTGCATGGGTGTTACTGCATAATGTTCCATCTCAACTCAGCCTCTTACTTACACTGTTGCTGGATTTTAGGAGCTATCAACATGCATAAAACATTAAAGCCAGGAAAAAAACTGCAGCTAGTAACTGAATTTTATTAGATTTTGTAATTGTGCTGCAAAGATATTTTTCAGTAAAAGTAATTGCTTTTTACTCCATGAAATTACTGGAGGTTTGGTGAATATATATTTGATTTTTAATTTTAAATATTAGAATTTTCTTTTTGCTTGACAGGAYGCTCATTCTGTAATTTTTACTTCCAAATTTTAAGTTTATTGCATGGCTGACTAGRCTTAATGTAATTTTGGAATAAAATGCAATAGATAGAAATAGCTGTAAAACATTAACAAAAATATACAGAGTGTGAGGTTAAAATCTGGACCGCCCAGCTGTCCAGCAGCGTTTCCCRGAGGAGGAAGCCGCTAGGTGGCCGTGTGTCCCGGCACGGCCGAGGGTGCAGGATCGTGCGGAAAGCGAGTCGCCCSGTACAGGCGCCCGCTGCTGCCATGGTGGCTGCTCTGCACTTTACCCCTTCCACCGGTGCACGGAGCAAAACCGACTGTTGTTCCATGATGGGAAGAGCAGACTGCCTACCAAAACTGTCACAAAAATTTAGTCTTTTCTACACGACACATTTATTGTTGGATGAATTCATTTAGCTTGCTAGTTCATTCATTCATTCATATGCTAGTTCCCATCGAGAAACAGATTCTGTTTTGGGGAGTGTGGGATGATCCTAGGTTTATGGAAATCAGGAGGGAGTAGCAGCATTTGGAATCCTCTGTAACTGGTTTTGTTTGGCAGGGGGCAAGAAGAATGAAATTAATCCTGCAATGGAAGGCTCCTCTACAATAAAATACACATGCAGACATGTGCCTGTACACCCACTCTAGCTCTSTCTGTCTCTCAGTCCTAACCTTACAGTTTAAGCAGCATTTTGTTAGATCTTCTGTACTGGACAAATGTTGCTGCCCAAGGGTGTTTCTCCAAACACAGCTTCTCTGCGTAGCATCTCCCAAACAGATATGCAGACAGAAACATATTGTCTGCCTTTGATGGTGATTAAAGAAAAATGGTCAAATATCTCACAAATACAGTGACATTCAAACCTAAAGCTTTTTCTCTTTAGTAATTATGCTAATTTGCATATATATTATATACACACATATACATGCRTGTGCCTATGTCCATATATGCATAGTAAATACATGTACTATGTGACTTGAGAAGAGTAAGTAGGTCTGTATGGAGCTTCTGTTCTCCTGTGGATTTAATGCAATGATCAGTGGCCTTCCTCAAACACCTGGATATAGTTTGGCAGGAAATTATCTCASTGTGCAGCTGCTTCTTAAAGAACGGACAAAAAATTGCCCGGAGGCTATTTTTCCCAGCTGGATACTGCTCATGCAATGAARAGTGTTATGTGTAACTGCCAGCCTCCCAAAAGTAAACTGCTTGAAGCCAAGGCCTATTCATCTACCATGAACCATAAATTTTAGCATTTGACAGGCTTTTCACCTGTCAGTAGTGTATACAGGGCATCTTCATAGTAATAATAACAAGAAGGATGTCACTATTTCTCTTGGCACGTGAGTAAAGCACAGGTTGAATTACACAYGAGCACCTTCACATTGGCAACGAACAGAAGCAAACAGACCTGCAAAACTAAGTAACAAACAAGCAGAAAGAGTGCTGTATAGATAAGTACATTGCGTAACGAAACCAGAAAGCAGTATGGGCCTATCTCAACAAAAACAGTTGCAGACAAAACAAACAGGTCTGATGCTAATGGTAACACCTTGATCTGTGCCCATGCATGCACACGTGTGTGAGAGAGATGCAGACTGTCACCATTGGCTATACATGATGCAGGGCTCTAAGAACCGGCCTCCTGGATGGAGGCGCTGACGATGTCGCGCTGATTTCGTGCAGGTGGGAGCTGTACAAGCCTCGCAAAGGGAGCGTGTGTGTGTGTGTGTGTGTGTGTGTGTGTGTGCAGCAGCCTGCTGGGAGCTGGCCAGGAGACCACGGCTGGCCACCAACCGCTGCATTTTGCAGCTCTGGTCGCATCCCCAGTGTTATGAACGTTATCAGGATACGTAGAAATAACCCAATTTTTGTGGCAATTTTGGTAGCTAGTCAGCAATTCCCTTACAAAGGTCATGGTCCCACTATTGAAAAGCTTCTTCTCATGGAAGTACCATGCAAATGATAAAAAATACATGCTGAAAGTAGTTTCATGCCCTTCATGATGTTTTCCCCATCTGCTGCTGTTGCTGCTTTGTTTCATTTGTCTTCAACAACCTGTTGATCATAACTTGTCCTCCATACTGAGGATCTGCTGCAGGACCCAGGGCTAGTCTGGGATGCCTGTCAAGCTGTCCATGATCACCCTTCTGGGCTTTTGCTTGGAGAGGGTAATACATCGCTGAGTGCTTGGGCAGACTTACACCATCCGTACGAGCATGTGTGAACGTGGCTCTACACWGGAAGTGTTTACAGTAAACCAACTAATCTGAGAATTTCCTGGTAGGTTTGGCAGCAGCTGGGCAGCCAGCCTGGCTCAGCCCCACCACAAGAACGCCCATGCTGCCCAGCCAGCGTGCTGGCATCCTGACCAGCGGCTTCCCAGCATGTTGGGTAATATCTGCCTTATCACGCCATGGCTTATGACGCTACTGTGCTGGCTTGAGACGAGTAAACACCTGTGGCCCATASAAAGGCAGCTGCAGCCCCCAACACTGGCAGTTGGGCTTCCAGAGGCTGCTGGCAACGGGTAACTGGTCCCTGGCACCTGCAAAACATGCTTCTGCGCTCCTGCCTGCTCGCCAGGACACTGGTCATCGTGGGTTTGGCCGGGCTTCTTAAGGGTAAGCTGCTACGGTGCTTGTGGAGGAGTAACGGTTGCTGAAATACTGCTTATCTTAGGGAGAGCAAGCGTCCTGCTTGGGGACCTAAAGCTCCACGTAGCCCCGAGCAGACAAACAAACTGCTCACTGTTTAAAAGAAATCAATAGGTGCCTGGTTTGTTCACGTTAGAGCCTTGATAACCTCAGCGAGACCAGGTAGCACTGGCGCCACAAAATAGTGCCCCAGTTACGCAAGGTTTCTGGCAGAGATTATTAACCAGCAGGGTACCTGCTCCTCTGCTTGTCTTTCAGATTTTAGCAAAGCTGGTGCTTCTGCCAGCCACAGCGACTGCAAAGGTGCGAGCATAGCCGATGTGGCCGAGACACTTGAGGTAAGCTGCTGCCTGCGGTGACTTTAGGGCTGCTCCTGCTAGTCAAAAGCCCTGAGATGCCTTTTCCAGTGTTGTGTTGAGCCACACACACAAACATGAGTTATAGTTCATAAACTAGCTGGTACCTTGCCATGCCTTCTGGCTAGTTTGCATGCAAACCATCTCTTTCGCCTCATATAACTGCCTTCAATCCCACCTTCAAGTGTGAAGGGCTAAATATCTACATGCCTCAGAGGCAGCACAAGGGAGGGATCAGGCGGGCGCGTTGAGAACAGGAGGCAGGGTAAAGAAATGCCAGGGCAGGGCATGTAAAGACGTCGTTTCTGACACACTGCAGAGACACCTGCACATCAGCCYGTCCCTTGGCCTTCACCCCAGAGCTGGCTCCCCATCTCACCAAGGCCTTGGCTGCTCTGTCTGCAGCATCGGCTCGTCGCAAGGGGAAACGATGYGGCCGAGGCCCGAGGCAGCGCAACCTGGGCACCTGCGGCACGGGGCATCTGGGCTCTGTCCCCCAGGACTTGAGTTGTATTATTTATTTTTATGTTTGATATTCTCTTCATACATACATTTGCATCCCCCCCCCCCCCCACAAAATTGTTTGTGAGAGATGCCAGCATTCAGAAGAAATAACAACCAATAATTTGTATAGAAGGAATATATATCTGTTCTTAAAGACATCTTTTCATATATAGAAATAAAAATATGCTTTCTAGCTACTGTTTTTACAAAGGAATATCAATGGTTTTCCTCTACAACTTAGCCTTTCTGATTTTCTCCTAACATCATTAGAAATATTCAGAATGTTTCCATAAAATGGTCACTGAAGGGGAAAAAACATCCATCAACTTGCTTGCTTGGAGGCTTCAAGAAATGCTGAATCTCCTCCGACCTCTTCAAGAAAAACGTGAGTCCTCCTCACACATCCCAACTATGTTCACCTTTGCTGAGTGCTTAACAAATCAGTGATGGAGAAACCATGAGGGGAAGAAAGAGGGAAAAAAATCAAAAATTCCTCAAAGAGTCCTTCTAAGAAGTGAGCATGAGCATTACTTCACTGCATTTCTTGAGGAACATCTCTTGTTTCTGTGACAAGATAGCTAGAAATTGAGAGATGCTTAACCTGTGCTCTGTGCACGTCTCTAAGTGATGCAGCAGTGACAGGTCACAGAAAGGACCAGCTGCACCTGTAGCTCCCTCAGCTCCCAGGGATACCCAGGCCTGTTCACCCTGGTGTTCGCGTGGGGCTGACTGTCTATGCTGAGAACAGACCCACCGGCTTGAGCCGTGCAGGCTTACAGGGAGGTTAAAGCCCACTTGGGGCTTCATTATCACAGAGAGCTTTAATGGAAAATTTGGGTATTGACCTCCCYGCAAAGGAAAGATGTTTTAAATTGACAAAATTGTGCACATTGTCTGGTTCAAATAGTGGCAGGGTCAGTGGTCACCCATTCCCTGGTCTGGGAGTATGCCCATGGTCTGCTCTGGTCGGTGGGCAGGGAGGAGGAACTATTTATGCTCATTTTTCACTATTTTTTTTTCTTCTTTAAATGCCGTGAGAAGTTTGTAAGCCGCTAGCCCTGTGCCCACACCCACTGGCCCCCAGAAACGGCGGGCTGGTGTGTGTCACCATTGACGGCCTGCAGTACTGCAAGCCCATGTGCAACAAGGTAAGAGCCTTTACTGCTGTGAGGGTCCTGGCTTAATTTTGCAGTTTACAAGCTGTACCCTGCAGCAGCTTCCTCGCTATGGGAGCTGGCGACTCAAGRCACCAGCAAGTGCTCTCAGCGCATTTCAGGCCCCTGCTTCTGAAAACCGAAGCAAATGGAAAGCAGAGCCCTAGTGTGTGCAGCTCCCTGCACGGCCCGCTGATGATTCAGTGCTGCTGTGCTGCCACCTGAGACTGGCCTGTTAACACTTGGTCTTCCCAGGGCTACGACTTCCAGTTCCTCCGGAAGACGAGGCTGTATGAAACGTGCGGAAACACCACGGGCTTTGCCTGGACGACGCAGTACATCGGCGGGGACGAGCTGGCTGTTTGCAGCCGTGAGTGTGGCTGAAACACCTCTGTGCCCCAGAAGGGAGGCCCAGGCTGGTTTGCGTAAAGGAGCCCTGCACGTGCATGTGCTGCTGTGAGGAGAGCAGTGTGGTCCCCACAGGCACCTAATCAACCCCATCAGTAGTGTCACCTCCGTCACGTGGCAGCTGGGGCTTTCACACTGCTCCTACTGCTGCCTGCAGCAACCTGTGACCTGCATCATCAACAACCTGTTGTTGTTATTGCCTTGATTTTACTATAAACAGGCATATACATATACAGAAAGCCCAATCTCCTTCTCCCTGTTACTTGGTGAAAAATATGCCACTGTGTTTTGTTATTGCTAGACTTGTTTCCCATGGCTTAACAAAGCAAACTGGCTGGGCAATTTTATTCCAATTTAAAGCTTTTATTCTGGAAAGTGGGGGTGGTGGAGCTTGCCTTCAGACCGGGATCCTGCACAAACCTGCCAAGGTGCTGGGCAGAGTGAAGTAATTCAGCAGCTGCTACTTCTTACTGTGTTTTTGGCTTATGTCTTTCCAGCCTCCGAGGTGGCTGTCAGTGGAGCTAAATCTGCCTATTTCCCTGCAAACAGCACCTGCCAGCACACGATTGCCTTTGCTGAAGCCGAGAAAGAGCAGATAAATATCTTTCTGCAAGAGCTCCGCGAGGAAGGGATAGATATTGGCAGGCAGGACCACAAGGCCGACTGCATAATGTGCGGGTACTAGTGCCAGGGCAGGCAGGGCCGGAACGCCGCTGCTGCAGACCAGCCGGGTGTTACCATTTGCCGTGGGTATTTTGGTATGAATAAGTGGGCAGTAAAATCATTGCTAAGACATTAAAATGTATAGCTTTTATTTAATTAAGAGATTAAAGATCGTAGTTATCGTTTGACCTAAGCTCTTGGCAAGGGATGTATGGTGACATAGGATAAACTTAATCACATAACTCATGGAGATGGTTCAAAGGAAGGATCACTTTTCCATGGCTTAAATTTGTCTAATTAAATAAGAATGATAGCTCCTTAATGGCTGTGTCTTTAGCTGAACACAGTAATGTGTAGCAGAAAATTTCTTCTGCTAGAACCATCATTGCTGTGAAAAGGTGATGATGCTCCGAGCTGCTTGTAGAGCTGCTCTTGCTGCTGGGAGGGCTGCTCAAGTGATGCAACTCATGGCAATTCCTGACTGCAGAGATGTAACACTTTATTCTCGTGCTGTTTCCTTGCTTGGGGTTTAATCAGACTGTACACAGAGCTGTTGAAGGTGCTGGCTTTCTCATGAGCTGCAAGCTTGAAGCTCTGCAGTTTGTTTGCATCAGCTCTCCCTCTGAATGTGTCAGCTGGAAAATATCCCACAGAAAAAGAGCCCCTTTAGGTATAGCTCACTGCATGTCTAGCACTGTGCCCTATGTATTTGCCAACTTAATAAAACTGCTGAAAAAAAAAAAAAAAAGGTAACATTTTGGCTGTGGTATAGTCCACAAAGTTGCTCAGGGTGTACTCAGTGCCCTCGTCCAGGTCATTGATGAACAGGTTGAACAGCCCTGGGCCCAGTACTGACCCCTGGGAGACACCACTGATCACAGGCCTCCAGCTGGACTCGGCCCCAGAAGGCAAAGGGTTGAAAACTACAATAAACGAAGAGAAAATTATACATATTCTTTTATCACAGCAACTCAGCAGCAACAGATTGGGAAAAATATCATTTTGGGTGCTGTGGTTTTGAGGGTTTTATTGCTTTGGACATCCTTTAGAGAGATGCACATATCACCCCGTGTGCTAGGGTGGGCTCACACGGCCCCGTGCAGTGAGATGTGAGGTGCAGACTTCATCCTCCAGAGCACCACGGCAGCGGGGGGCAGCATCATGAGGAGACTCATTATCAGCACTGTGGCAAAGATGACCAGCRCTATTTCCCATGGTGCCAAGATCGTTTCCACCATGACTTCCTGAATGCCAAGGATTTGAATCTGTAAAACAAAGGCCTATATATATCATTACTTCCTCACAAGGGCAATATTAATGTACAGAAATGCTTGTTCTACTTAGGGCCCTGAAAGAGGAGAGCACAAGGCAAGCTGAGGAGCAAGTCACTGCCATCTGAGCCTCCAAGGTAGTTACTAAAGCTGGCACTTTTCAGTTTTGATGAATGTCATTGAGACACTAGCTTGTTCTATTGGCTTTTCTCATTGGCACTGGCAAAGTCAGAGTGGGTCAGTGGAAAGTCAAAGCTTTCAATTTTTATTTGMATTTAATTGCCCAGTGTTTCAATTAATTACGTCATTTTACACCTAAGACCCACAGATAACACAGTAAAGGAAGTTTTTGTTTAAAAAATGACTATACTTAGCAAATATTTAGCATTTATCCAACAGGTGAATTGCCTACCAAGTAGGCACGTAATAATGAGTAGAGTTGATAAAATGTCTTGAGAAAGAAGTGAGRGAAAGTAAGCAGGCGACAAACTCCTTTCTGTAATTAAAGACTAATTTATTCAGGATATTTTCCAATTCTTTAATTTATATTCATTTTGGCATAACTGATTAATTAAGCAAAATTCAGATCCACTCAGTCTCAGACAATAAAGTTACTTGTGTATGGTTAGACAAAACAAAATCATACTGGTATCTATCACAGGTAAAGTATATGCTGGAAAGAAAACTGAATCACCTGCTAACAGAATAAATCTCTCTCTCYCCCTCTCTGATTTTTTGTCTTCTCCTAAAACATCCATTAGAAACTTTGTGCTTGCCAAAGAGCTGCAGTGGGCTCTCAGTAAGGAATYGCATGCTTTGAGAAAGACCACACACATATTTTAATGAAACTGTTAAATCTTTCTAAAGCTGATTTCTATTTGAAATGGCTTCATGACACATTTGTGAGCTTAAGACATGCAGGGAGTTTAGTCGCTGGTGAGGAATGGAGTGCACTTGCAGAGCAGAACCATCACTAGTAATTCCCATGTGTTGAATTGGGCAAAGCAGACCAGCTAGGAAGGGGTTAAATCGTGCTGGGTTGAAATGCAAGGAGGCAAGGGCAGTGATAGCTAAGGAAGGGAGGTGTGGGCTCCTCCAGCACCACAGCTGCACAGAGCACTATAACGAAGCTGATGATGATATAAAAGGTTGCAGCTGGGGCAGAGGGGGTTTTTTTCCCCTCACAACCCCCTGCCCTTCTAGCATGGCAGTAGGGTGCCTCCTGAGGGACATCATCACTCCTTTCAGCCTAGGAATTTGGTCCAGCTTTCCCAAGAGATTGTCCACTCTTGCTCCAAATTGGTGGTAAGATATGTCTTTGTTACAAAATGTTCCCCTTTATAAGAAGAAGAGTTGAAACAACATTTGTAGAATGTGCTTATTTGAGGAGAGAACTGGAGCATGTACGGAAAAGTGGTGAGTTAGGAGCATTTTTTTCCACCTCGTTTAAGAGTGTTAAAATCACTATCAAGAAAGGGCTTTCTGTTTCACTCCATGAAGTGAAGGAGTAGCTGTCTAATAACAAATCCTGGAGGATTTTGTTGATGCTCCTTAACAAAGACCAAAAATTTGTTATGCAGCTTCCAGACAGAGGCTTTGTTACTTAGTCAAGCACTGACTCTTTAGTACCAAACTTCTGCGTAGGTTTGCCCTCTTGTTTTGTGCTGAGGTACCACTTCAAGCTTTCTGAGAGAGAAAATTCAACAGTAGAAAACACATTTTCTCCCCAAAGTTAGCAGTATCTGTGGTGMGAGTCCTCAAAAGTGCAGAGACCTCCCTGGAAGCCTAGGCTTTTGCAAGCTCAGGTAAAGCTTCAAATTACGGTTAATTCCAGCCACCTGTGGCCAATAAGGAAGGTGCAGGTGAGACCTGCTTTGCTCAGAGCCTGAGGCCTACAGCTGAGGGCTGGGCTGCTGCCTGGCCAGCTGGGCTGCATAGCTGAGGCCTGGGCCTGGAATGTGGCCTCATCCCCCATGCCACYGGAGCTGTAAGGCAGCTGCTTGGCTTGGCTCGTTTTTCATCTGCTCAGATGTGCCATTTTTTCTTCACCAGTTCCAACCAATGCAGGCTGCTCTGGAGCTACATAGGCTATGTGGTGCTTTGACCTTATGGCAGGCTCCTTTTCCAGTATTAACTTATGTTAAGTCTGTGGTGCTAGGCTGTCAAGAGCAGTTTACATATTCAGGGCCTTGTTACCTTCTAACAGGACTGTCAGGTACATGAGCTTCAGTTCACAAGCAGCACATTTCTTGACACAGAAGTGGGTCTGCTTAAAATATAGATGCTGCTTATTCTGAATGACTTTCAACTGACCTTTAGCAAGGGGAATTGAGAGGGCTGTGGGAATTTCATGAGACATTCACAGGAATGACTGCTGATCATGACTGCTGCTGATGGCTAATAAATCTGGCAGTTAGTCTTATCTAAGCTCTTGAACTGTTGATTTGTCCTTCACCTACTTAGGATGAGTCTTGGGGTTTCTTGTGTTTTAAGACTTTGGGCTCCTGGCTGGTGGTGGAGTGCAGAGCGGGCAGCTCTTTGTTAGTCTTGTGGGTATGGAGCATTTAAGGGATTGTTCATGAACAAAACTGCGACATTGCATATGAGGGGAAGGTCAGATCATGTATCAGTACGGCTAATTTATATACTTTCCAGTAAGATGTCTTAGAAMTAAGATAAATTTATGACAGTAGAAATGTAGTCACTGATGTGATCCTGGTATATTGTGGTGCTGTGCAATTAGTAAGTACAGCAGCTGGAAACCACAACATAAACTACCCTTTGAAGCCTTGCTTACCTGTGTCAGCCAGCCTGTTCCATTCATTTGATAGGTCTGGAATTGCTGTTCAGTTAATGAGGCGTTTCTTGCTTTGTGGCAGGGTTCAGTGTACACAGGCTGTCCTGGTATGTGATTAATAATCTTTTCAAACAGCAGCCCTTCTATCTTTCCAAACCTCTCTTGGTTACAGGAGAGTATGAATGAATGATTCAAAATGATGTCAACGAGAACAGAGCTCTAGAAAGAGAATTAGTGTTTCTTTCAGAATAAACACACTATCAATGTATCTTTGTATATTTGTCTCATAGAAAATCCTTATCAGTGCATGAATGCATCAAATCTAGTCTCTAAACCACATAAAGAAAATGTTTTGCAGTGAAGGGTCCTCTACATCCCTTCCTCAAATGTAACACCTGGGTAAAGAGTAAAGTAAAKCAAGGATTGAAGATTAAGGCAATAATGATGACTTAAGAAAATTACATGGTGAGGCATATAATTATATCAGAAATTAATAGGGAGTTAAAAAGAGGTCTATTGGGGAAAGGTGTGCTTCTAGCTATATGTCCCACATTCAATATGTGACTTAGGATTTGTTCAAAGCGACGCAGAGGAAAGCTTTTCTTCTGGACTACGTTGACTAAGACCTATTTGTTTGGACTCTTAAGATTTTCATAGCATGAGGTGGACTGGATTCTCTAAAAACAATCCATAATCTGTGAATCAGCCTCCACAGAGAATAAAAGTATAACCCTGTGACGGACTTCTGGGAATGAAGCTGCCTGCTTGATTAACTGCATATGGTTAACGTAATCTAAATTAGGCCTTGTAAAAATGCAAGTCTTGAAGACTGGGGATTGCTTCACTGCTCCTCTTATCTTACCACAAATTCACTTATGAAATGTAATGTCTTTGAGATCACGGCACACAAATGCTGCTGAAAACTACGGAAGGAGGGAACAGGCTTGCTTTGTAGTATATTTAGGGAGCATATAGGTCTGCCAACTCACAACCTGTCACAGCACAAAAGCCAGGAAAATGCTCCATTTGGGCCATTTCATCTGWAGCTTTAATTTTTGGTTAGGAAAAAACAGCAGCTATAAAAATGTAAGAAGGGGTGATTTACTGACCTAGGCAGCCTGCAAACCGGGTGGGTGGGGTGCAGAGGAGATAGCTGCCTCGTGGCTTCTGCCTGCAGGGAATTTAGCCCTGTCTTTCTCCACCAGCTGATATTTAAGAGCACATGCTGTGCCTTCTGCAGGCACTGCTGCATTGACTGTCTTTGATTTTAGTCTGTGTTTTTTTTTTTAAAAAAAGAGCAAGCTATTTTTCTGCTAATCTTGCATATTGCCTCCAAGTTACTCAAAAATATTTTTCAATTTTAAAGAACAGTAAAAAACTTTCTGAAAAGCTAGATGTATTTATTTCTATCTGAGTTTCMCCTTACTACAACTGTAAAAGCAAAGCTAAATCGCCTCAGTGTTGCGATGAGGCCACATGCTAGAGGCGTTGCAATAATTCTGTGCAAAATAGGCTGGCTTGTGGTCTGTAGAGGACCCATCAAGCTTTAGAAAGCAGCCTTCCCGTGCTCGTGGGGCACTGGAATGTGCAAAGGCTGCTGAGCAAGATGCCTCTGGGAGGCGATGGTCGGCAGGGCCGAGTTACTTGCTCAGGGGAGTGATTCCTCTGAAGATTCTTTGCATGGGGCAGAAAGATGAGCTGGGATCTAATGTGGCTTCAGACTTCAAAGTGCTTGGCTAGCCCAAATTATTTTTTCCCCCAGCTGGAGAGGTCACAAGTCTAGCACAGCTGACCGGTGCCTGGGAATAGAAAAGAACAGGTTTTAAAGATTCCTTTGGGAGCCTCAGATTCTTAAATGCAGCCACCAAAACACAGAGTGGATTGAAGTCCACAAGGCCCATTTAATTTAATTATAAATTTAATGATATCTTCTCCTGTCTCAGGATATGCTTCTCATTAGTAACTTCCTTCTCATTAATTGGGATTAAATGTCAATCAAAGCACCTGCGCGCAAAAGACACAGCTGGAAGCAAACAAGAAATGTGAGTAAGGACTGTTGCCTTTCCTCATTTTCAATTCTAACAAAACCCACAATTTCTTCATATTTCCCCCATGAAGTATTTCYCCAAGGCAGTAAACCAGGTTTACATGATTTTGTAAAACAGAATCTGTGCAAATCCAACGATTCTTCAGGGGTTTTGGCAGACAGTAACTTCAAGCTGGTGAGAACCTCAGCATTTGCAAYACAAATTCCCAACTGGTAAACTACTTAAAGCTGCTCTTAGTGAGTAAAAAAACCTTATGCTAAAAGTCTGTAAAGCAAGCATAGACATATGGTAAGCTTTGATATATGTATGACTTGTGTGACTATTTATAGAAGCTATCAGGGAAACTAGCAGACTAATGTCCAAGCAGGTGAATATGGTGTATAATTTTGTGCTGAGTGGCCTACCCTAAGATTGTTTCCAATGTCAGTTGCAATGCACAGCAACAGCCCTGGTCTCTTTCCTATATGTTCTGATGCTGTTAGGGAAGGCGACACTGACACACGCAGGCATATAGGTCCCATTAATAAAAGCATCACTTACATGTGGCTGGGGACACCTGGGAGGTTTGACTCCGCTGTCCCTGAAGCAGATAGTGGGGTGCAATTTGTCAGGCACCTCATTAAGGAACTTGTTTGTTTGCTGGTCTCTTCTCATTCTGCTTTGGGCTGGAAGGGGACACAGACTACCCTTCCACAGAGGAAAATGCTGGTGGCTTTACAAAGGAGCAGTCAAGGCAGGTTTCTGCAGGAGCTCTGACAGTTGCTGGACTGGTCAGCAGCAACACGTTGCTGAGGCTCGGTCCTGCCCTATTCCCTCTCCCCATCCCTAGAGGCCTGAGCCTTTAGTATGAGCTTGGATTTGCATTTTACCAAAACATGCTAAATCCACAGTAGACAGTACAAATATGTTCTGTACAGCTTTGGATCTTCGAGAATACTGCACTTTGCTCACAGAACAGTCTTTGAGGAAAAGAAGTGCTTGATCACTGGCCTGCTGTACTGGTGGAGGCAAGTACAGTCGGACTGGAGGTAAAACATGATATTGACAGTGTTAAATATATCAAATTCTACAGTAATTAGTTACCTTTTTACACAAACATTTTGACATTTTAGCAGGCCATCAATCCTACTAAAATATACTAATTAAGTGCATCCAGATAAACCAGATGTGATACCAGAAAGAGCCCATAGCACGTAAAGCCCCTCCTGCACAAACTCTTAGATGTGAGATGCCCATTTAGACAAAGCGACTCCCTGGAGCTTTAGCACAGCTGGAGCTGCAGAACACTTCCTGTTTGGCAAAGATAAACATCTCTCCCATGCACAGTTATCCTAATGGAGGAACAAATAAATGGCCAAAACTTCAACAACTTGTTCTGCTTCTTGTTCTGCTAACAGTGATCTGAATCTCTAGACTTGGAATAGGGTAAACAAGTGCTACTGTGTAGCTGTTTTCATATAGAACTAACAGCTTCCTACTAATATTTAAAAATAACTACACATACCTAGATCTGTCTTCTGAAGCAGTTATCACTGCTGTGATGTGACTTGTACRCTGTGACTTGTAATATGTGTCACTGCTTACTACTACAGTGCAGGACTCCTACAAACCAGGAAACTCGGTAGTTCCTGTAAAGCTTTTGTGACAGTTCGTTAAAACTAGGTGTAGGAATTGGGAAGAATGTGAAAAGCTCTGAAATCTGGAGCTCTTGCCTTTTGTTTTACTGAAAGGGAAGGTGACAGTCAAGAAATAACTATTATCGTAAGTCAAAATATAATTAAGCACTTGTAAAGAGAAATCAAACTGCTACTTTAAATTACATAGATAAAAAGCCATGCTTCAGCTACATAAAACCTCAGACACATCTCATAACATGCACTGATCCCGCATAGGGCTAAATGTTGCAAATAGAGTAGCAAGGGTCGTGGCAGAGGTTTGAAAATCCTGAGTCATAGAATATTCAAAGCAGTCTCAGAATGTGCTTATGTGAYAAATGCCCTCTGCAAGTTGCAATTGAATAAAGAGATAGTTATAAAAAATATTTCAGTATTTTCTTTAAAAGAATTTCAGCCTCTTTATAAAGGGTCTTGTAGTTTGCTTTTATGTAAAACTCTCACAGGATGGTAAATAGAGAGTTTCTGGGATTATTAGTGAGATGCACACTGGGATTTTAAAATCTGAGAGTGCCTTTGCAGTTTGCTTCACCTTGCTTTTCCACATAAGCAGGTGACCACAATGAAAGTTAAAATATAACAGATAAGTGCTTTTAAATGCGCTGTTTAAAATATGCACAAATCTCTTTTCCTAAATACGTAACTTCTGATTGATTTTTTTCTCATATTTGATCTAACAAAGTGGCTTCATGTTATCCTAGTGTTTCTTATTCTTCTATTAGTGTTCTGGCCCTTGAAATTGTTGTACAGAGGGGCTGTATACACCTGTAAGTAAAAACAATTTTTCCTGTTCTGAAATGCTTAGCCTTTAAAAACTTCTGAATGAACTTACAGAAACTGTGGGTCTGTTATCTTTAAAGGTAAAATAAGGACTTGTCAGATGCAGTGCACTTGCAGACACTTCTATGTTTTTAATCAATTAGCCATTTTGCTATTAATGAGCTTAATACAAACTGTGTAAGTGGCAACTTTGATATTTTCCCTGCTTCTTTAGAAATAAAGCAAWTTTTCCCTTGTTTTTTGCAGAATGATTAATAAGTAGTTGAATTTGAGTKGAATGTTTGGTTCTTTCAGCCTGACAATCTGAAGTCATTTCTGCCTTTTCCTAATGCAAAATACAGGCAAAGTGATGAATCAGAGTGACCCTGTAGCAATTCTGCTCTTTCTTGTCCGCTCTTACCTTTCTAATGTCCTAGGGGTGTCCTGCAAGTCTCACAGATGAAAAGAGGTTGCGTTGCGAGGGCTTCCATCCTGCGTTGCTGGCCTGTGTGTTAGAGGTGGTGGTGCTCGACCTGCAGCAGAAAGGCAGGGCTGTGAGTAGGGGGCTCCCAGATGGGGTGCCGCTCAGGTGAGTGCCGCTCAGGTGAGCGCGCCTCAGGTGAGCGCTGCAGCCTGCAGGTAGCTCTGTGCGGTGGTGCCTGCATCGCCTCCCACTTGGCTCTTAAAGTGGCACAATCCCTTTCAAAGGAGGAACGAGCCGTCCTGCCTGAGCACTAACACTCAGGGCTGCTTTGGCATCACTAAAGCAGCGGTTGGTGTTCACACATGCCCAAAAACTGCTTGAGGAGAAAGTCACGTTTAAGTGATAAATGATGGACTTTTTTTTTCCCTTAGGAAACCACTTTGTCTTTCTCTATAAATCATATTTACACAAAAGTCTGATTAGCAAGTGCAGCCTTTGGAGTATGAAGGTTGATACCCTAAAGATTACTCCAGATGCATGGATTCACATGTCCAATCCTCCTTTATTTTGGTCCCACATGCTTGTTTCCTTCAAACTAAGCCTATTTAAATCTTTTAAAAATCATAGCTATGGTCAGGCTACTGAAATACCTACTACACTGAGTAGAAAGCACCAAACCCAGAGAAACCTTTTCAGAGGCTCTTTGAAAGCAGCTGTAGAGACAGTACATTTGTTCAGAGGTGGCACTTGGCCCTCCCATCTTTCCTTGTTGTTAGACAAGTGCAGCCAGGGTAAGCGGCAGTTTGAGGACACTGACAACTCTACCATTGCCTCCTTGCTATTAGGATGATTATATATATATGTATATATATATATATATATATATGTATGTTTGAGGGGGCCTCCATTTACACCTACCCTAACAGATGTTACCTTTTTGAAATCTTCAAGGGCTCAAAGTCAGCTAATTGGCGATTAAAACAAACAAAAGCTCTTACAAACTGCACAAAACAGCTAGGATTTTTTTTTTACAGGAAATAATGATCAGTAAGAATYGCTTTCTGGGTATAATGTGTATTTTTCTGTATTTCCAAAGTAAAATTTTCTGACAGTGATTTATCTTTGGGGGAAATATTTCTCTCCATTGTACAAGGAGAGAAGGGTAAATGAGGAAGATCTGACCCCCAAACTGACATGCAACTTTTCATTTCACTACTAATATTACCTGAGCTTGTCAGATACCTGTTCCTTTTTCCCCAAGTTTCTTGGTATGAAACCTGCTTACCTTGTTTTCCTGAAAGCTGTTAAGATTAGTGAGATTTTGAAGCTCCCAGGGCTGGTAGTGGTGGTGTTACCATGGCCTTTGTAGAAGTGGTGCTCTTAATTGACTGAAACTTGAACGACAAGTGGCACTGTTTAGATTGTCAGCAAGCTGGGTGGGTGTGAGCAAGCACTGCTATGCACAAGGTTAACTGAGTGGCAGTCAGGGCAGGTAGAAGAAGCCTCCAGGTTTAGGATACAGACCGGATCAGGCTTTTCAAATAAGTTCATAAACATTCCAGAAAATAAGAGGTAACCATAGATGATAGAGTTGTTTGGATGAATCCTYTTTACAAGGCAGATAACATTCTACTGCCCTCCCACTCAGATTTAGGAAAACTGGAGCCCAAACCCCAACTTCTGCTTTTTGGGGGAGGAGAACCCAKAATGCTGATTCAGACCTGCTGCAGCCAGATCTCTGGAGACATGAACTCCTGGCAAGGCAAGAGTGACTTCTACTCCAGCTTTTTGATCCTCATTGAGGTCGACATGTCCTTGGTGCAATGTGACAGGGGTAGCATCCAGCTACATCTAGCTGTGGAGTTGCAGATCTAGTGCTTCAYTCCTTGCTGGGGAGGCCCCGGAGGGAAGTGTCTGAGCGCTGGGGAGCGGGTGACATTGCGGCAGCCTGTGTTCATCTGCTCTACACCAAGGATAGCAATGTCATTTTATCTATTGAAAATTAACTCAAATTTTGCTGTGGCTCTAAATGCCTGTAGATAAGCAGGGAGATGATCTGGCACCAAAACCTAAGACCTAAAACAGATGGCATAAAATTAAAAACTTACCATTGTTTTAAACRCTTGGAGGCTTCAATGCTGATGTTGATCATTGTGAACTTCTCAAACTTGACTGGAACATGATGAGTGGAAATCTACTGTACGAGGTGACATCTGGGTTCCTGTTTCCTCGTGCTCAGTGGCAGGGCTTGTTTCACAACAGGAGTCACGCAAGGCTGAGGCCGTGGGCGGGGGAGCTGATGAATGCAGATGGATCCTGKTAAGCTCTAAAACATTTGCAAATAAGTCAAAAGACAGTTTGAAAGTAGAAGTCCCCATGGACTTTTGATTCCCATTTCCCTTAATATGCACCTGTTTCAAACTGGGCTAACACATAAWCACAATAGTTTACATAGACCTTGTCTGATAAAAGATGTAGCACTGGTTCATATTCTGGCTAGGTTGTCCCAAAATACAACATTAGTTGGMAGCTTGTTAGTTCCTTACATGCCCAACAGATCCATGGGCTCAAYGGGGGATTTTGCTCATAATTTCTTCCTATAGTTAGGATATCTTAGATTCATGAACAGGGGAACACARTTCTGTTAAATATTGCATGATAAGGAACTGAATCTTGCTAGAGTGAATGTATTAGGCAACACGTGGGTGTGGGCAACCTGCAGACCCCATACTGTTTAAACAAAGATGTCTTGATTTGACATGCATCCTGATGCACTGATTATCTCAATTAAATACTTCTAAGATAAGTTGTTTRATTTGCTCAGAACAGCAGCAAGAATAGTTCACAGGCTATGACATCAAGCAGAGGGGCTGAACTTGAGCCAGGAAGAGCTATGCCTTGTCACAGAACAAGTGGTGAGCAGGTGTACTCAAAATATTGCTCCACTCATTGCATTTCAGGCAGCTGAGGAATGTAGCTGCTCTGTATTTAGAGCAACATGCATGGCTGAGGCTGGAAGCATCTTCCTCCAAGCAGGTCCCCTGAGCTCCTAATATAGAGTCAGGAATGGGATTAGGAGTTGCCAGAGGGGTTTGAGAGGTAGTTCCTGATTGCTGCCCTGCAGGTGTGAGAGGGACAAAGAGCTGCTGGGTCTGAAGTTTTCCCATAGCAAATGTAAGGGTGCTTATATAGCCCTTGTGCTTATAGCTTGACCCACACTAGTGGCACTGCTTGCTTGTGGTGCAGGTGAAAAGRGCCAGAGAAAGGCAGGTGAACAACAACAATGCTGTATGCAAGAGTAGCTGTATGTGTTGGTTTGGTGAGAGAAGTTTAGGGAAAGGGATTAAAATACACTCAGTTTTGAGCCTTACTGGTAAAGGGTGTGTGTGTGTGTGTGAGAAAATTCACCTTTTTTTTCCATTTACTGTAATAAGTCAATGATAAAAAGTGTGAGCAATGGGGACCCAGCACCTCTGTACATACCATGTGAGATTCGTCTGCTGTACCCATACCTGAACAGGGACAGTGCTCTCCAGCAACGCAACAGGCGCAGGAGAAGCAATCAAGAACAAACTCACTCACAAATGGACACTGCTTTGGTGACCAGTAATCTCCTCTTCGGGGCTGGCGCTTGTTTAAAAGCCAAGTTTGGATAGCCAGGAGYGACCTTTATTTTTCATGCTGCATTATGAGCGTTTGCTGACTACCAAGAAGGCAGAGAGGAGGGCCAGGACAGAGCAGGAGGGGAGGCACTAGAACTGGCACACAACAAGGCGATTCTGGTTGCACTTCTTGTCATTCCAAGTGCCATCCGTGTACATCTCCACACACTCCTCTTCCCCTTTGCCAGAAGGTTCCCTCGCGTGCCAGTGTGTGTAATTGAGCTCTGCCCCRCCGAGGGAGCGGAACTTGCCTGGAATTAGGGTCTCCTTGATGCCCAGGTAGGCGTACGTGTTATAGCGCTGCACCARGCGCCGCACGGCAGCGTTCTCGCCCTCGCTCCTCGGGATGGCGATGGTCCCCCCAGCCTGGCTGCATTCTTGCACTGCGGTATAGAAGTCGGCTTTTTTCCCATTGGCAGCAAATATTTTTCCTCCAGAGGCGGTTATCTTCTCTTCTAAACGGAGGGCTACAAGATCAAGCAAAAGAGAATAATTCCTTATGTACTGTTTTTGTAGTCATTTAGCTAGCAATAGTGCCTGTATTCTTTCATAACTTTAGATTTAACCTATGAAAAAGGAGAGGGAAACTTCAAAACTAGAAAAGGAAAACAAAAAATCAGAAGAAATCTGAAAAGATGAAATGGGGAGAGAAAAAAAAAAATAAAGAAATACTTACGGCCAATGTAATAGGAGAACCAAGTGGATGGAAAGGAGGGAAGGAAATGAGGAATTTTACATTTAGACCAAGTGTGTAACTTTTTCTTTGTCCCTAKTCTGTATCTTTAAGTTCTTTGGTTACGGAGTACACAAGTATGCCAATACTTCAGGGAGTAGAACCTTAGATACGATCCTGTTGGGYTTATTAGGGTATTAGGGTATCTTTACCATTTGGTCTATATGTGACTACTAGGAGCAGGAGATGACAATGAAGCACCTTCACACAGGCGAGAATTTTACTTTGATAAATGTTTCTGACTTGCATCCATGTTTCACTGCTCCTACCTAGGCATCGGGCACTAGTTAAGGAAACAATTCTCACCTTCCTCCTACCRTTTTTAAGTAACCAGTCACCTCTTCACTGAGGAACAGAAGATAAAAGGAGTGAAACAATAACTCAGAAAATGCTGCTATTTTCTAAGAAGCTTTCCCCCCCTGCCCTGTACGTTTTGCATATGTTCACCAATCCTGTTACAGCTGAAAGGAAAGGCAGATAAATTACCTCCTTCAAGTCTGGAAATGCGATGGTCTAATTGAAGGATGACATCCTCCTTTTCATTATCAGCAAGCGATGAGRAATCTGAAAACAGAAACAACTATTATACATTTTGTTTAACTTTTCTGGGACTTCAAGAAAAAGTAGAGATAGCTATGTGAAATTAATATGAACTTTTAAAATGTTTTGTGTGATCTGTTTTAGCTTAATTATCTGCTTTAACAAGGCTTTGTTAAAATTTGGAAAAACAGTAAATAAATTTTTGGGTATCAGGTAGAACCCATGACAAATTACACAAMATGACATTTGGTTCACGAAGCAAAAATGGAATACAACATTACACCTAAATAAAAATAGACAGCTGCAAATACCTGGTAGGAAAACTTCATCTAACCCAGCTTCAGACAAAGTGTGTGAAATTGGGGCCAGAAGGAATTGCCACTGGGTTATCTTGAACATAGCATGTGAGCAAAAAAGCCAGGCCAAACATCTTGGTGAACAACTGTGGTGACAGCATTTTTTTTGAAGCCAAMTGAAAAACAAACTGTTACTCTCCAGTGTAGATTCCTGTGTTAAAAAAATGACACTTCAAAATTTTGCTCTTCAATTTTTCAAGTTTTCTTTAACCACAAGCTTTGCCTTTAGTGAAATGGATGTCACTGACATAGCTATAAAATTGTTATTTGTATCAAATAATTCAAATATTTTTTCASGAAAAGCAATCTCTTAACTTAGACTCCGCTTACACTGTGAAGAGAGGGGAAAAAAACCCCACCCCTTTCAAAACCTTTCTCTTTTCTACAGTCAGTACTATTTTTCCTTATAAAAATGCTAGTTTTGTTAATTTTAAAGAGGAGCAATAGMTACGTCTGCTTTAGTGAGAAAAGCCATGTTAAGATAAAATGGAACACGTTGTCTTATTTTGAGAGAAACAATTATTAAGGCTTATTATTTCATTACGATAAAAATCTATCTTTTAAAATATCCACATCTCAAGTGACATCCTTCATAAATGTAGGCTACAGTATTCATGAAGAAAAATGTTAAAAGACAATAAAAAGTTCTGAAATGGRAAGGTGTTTGATAGAGTTTAAGTAGTCAGCATGATTTAAACTACAGCCTATTTCAATATATTCAACTTACCTAGCAGTTCCACTATAAAATAAGAAAAGTTTATTGCATGGTCTAATATATAAGGCCTGTAACTGGAGATTTATTTTGTTATCTATGAGAGCTTGTAATGTGAATTTGCATATGAATAGAAATGTCAAGGACTTTAACTTGTGTGATAAGGATTCATTTTCTTCAAGAAGTAAACGTACTTAAAACGTGAGGAAAATATTTGAGTACTTTTTTGTTTTTAAGAAATGCTTTCATGTTAAAAAAGAGTAAAACAAAGTTATTTGTCAAGACTTGCTTGAGATATTTACTGTTCCTATGTAATTCCCTTGCAAATATTACTGAAGACAATCAAAAACAGAGTTCAGGAAATACAACATGCACCAGCAACATCTCTGTACTACTCTCTTGTTAGAGACTGAGGGACAATTACTGAAAGTTTGTGCCTGAACAGAAGCTCCCGACAACAGAAACCAGCCCAAAGGCAGCGGCGCTTCTGTGGCCTTGGCAGAAGTAATAGCCCCCTAAGCCCATACTTAAATAAGCTGCCAAAGTCTCCTAAGTGAACCGGGATCACCTCCATGGACAGGGCAGACCTGTACCCTGCCCATCCAGGCTTCCCGTGCTCCCATGTAAGTCCAAAGGATTCCTGGAGTAGGTTAGTGCATGCTCTGCAGAGGGTACCCAGCCCGTGAAAAATAAATACCCAGCACCCAGTTATTTGTACCTGGGTAGGAGAGGGCCAACTTAAATTTGCATGTGCAACTTTTGTTTAAAGTTTCCTCTAAATTTCAGGTTTCCTAACTTCTGAGTGTTTGACCTAATGGCTCTTAACATTCTTTTGGCTTATGTTTTTCCAATTGTTTTCTTAAAAACAAATGGAGAATAGGAGGACATGCTGTTACCTGGGGACCATATGAGCTATGGTAAAGGTCAACTGCAGAAGTTGGACCTTTGCTGTTATGGTGGGGAGAACCTGAGCACTTGGGAGGAGGTGCAGCTTGTGCAGGGTGAGATGGGACGTGGTACAGCCTCTGTTAATAGACCTCACGTGTACTGAAGGATGGCTCAGAAGGRCTGGTCATGTTTTCCGGTGCARGAGACTCCTGAGAAGAGTTGATGTTGATTTTGTATGTTTAAAGCTTCAGTTCTTTATCAGTGTAWTGATAAGAAATAGAAAACAGAAATAGATACTTCTACTTATTCATATTTCATATATGATCAATAGCTTGATATTAGCATTATTTGTAAGAGCAATTACTATAAACTATTTGCAGATCTGCCTTTGAGCAGCATGCCACAGAAGCTTAGCAAGACTCAGGGATACTTCAAAAAAGTGACATAAGACAGAATTCTTGAGGATGAAAACAACTTTTCCCGTACTTGTCCATCTCTCACTGAGCAGTTTGATATTTAATTAAAAGGCTAGTGAAACAAATTATGGAGATTCTGAGATTAGGTTAAGTGTTACACAAGGTAGCGAGGAAAATATAAAACATACTAAGGACAACCTTCAGTCAGCAGTACTTTCCTATCTGCCTAAACAAATACAGAAGCTAGAAYTTAATGTCAGTTTTTGGAATCTGGTTGGTTTCTTCTATAAGCATGTGTGTTAGTTTTCCCTCTGTACATTTAATCTCCAGAAGTCTGATTGTTTTCCTTCATAGTGCTAGTCCCACCTCAGCTAACCCTACAGAGTCTTCCCCTAGTCTCTCGGTTTGTATTTAAATAGTCCAGACCCCATTTATATTTGCTGTTTACACCGTTTCTATGCTGTTTCTGCTGTTGCTGTTTCCATTCTGCCCCTCTACAGAGCCCTGTCCTTTCTGCAATCCTTTTTTTCCCCATGTCGTCTTCTAAATTCTTGTCAAACCACTCTGAACAGCTCCTTTATGCTGAGGGGTATGAGGGAGCTCAGAGCATGGGGGACCTCCTGCATGTTCAACTGCTCACCCCAGTTCTGAGCTTGACAGCAGTAGTGAGGCTATTTTTCTTAAGCTTTAAGGACAAGAAATAAAGAATTCAGAAAAATATGGACATCCAATATGACAAGCTTCAGCATGACTTGTGGGTGAAGCGAGGAGCAGCATATTAGAGTAGAAAGTCTTAGTTTTACCTGTAGCTATGTTGATGCGACTGCCGTCTTGCTCCATTGACCTACACGTGACGGTCACCAGCTGTCCTTGGATCATCACGCAGTATTAGYTCAGCTGAGAGACATGGGAAGGAAGAGTAGCTTTGTGTTTATAACCTGTGGAAAGCAGCAACATGTCTCACTTAGCAGTGATTCTTAATAACAAAACTGGGTTTTAAGAGCAGGGAGGAAAAAGAACAACTTAGGCTTATGAAGCAGAGGAAATGCTTTTGATCCTATATACTCTGCAGTGGGCCTCCATTATTAATTGACAGCAAAGGAAGGTTAGGCTGCTCCTTGTAGCCTTTACTTGTGTAACTATCCTCGTGGCAGCTAGCTGCCAGGCTCCTATGCGCCCAGTTACCTGCAGGCAGGTCCATCAACCAAGTTTCCTTTAGCCACCCCCTATTTTGAACACTGAGTACTCTAATTTCCAAGCATCTTGGCCTGTTTGCATAACTGTGGATTAATACAATGTTATACCTTTAAGTTTCTACTTCAGATAATGAAATTTGCCTGAAGTCTTTCAGGCCCAAGTAAACATGTCTGTTAATTCATTGCACAACACACCCACGAACATCATTTTCCTCCAGTTCGTAAGTTGCAATAGGACCATTAGTTCTTTCACCACCCTTATCAAATTTCCTGATGGAAAGTATTTCTCCCCGTTCCATCTACTGTTTTGCTACTGCAAGGCCACTCATGAACATAAAATGCTGGATTAACCTTTAGTCAGCAAGGTACTCACAGCACTGCCAGGATATTGTGGCATCAAGTACTTTCTCCTGAAAAAAAAACCCCAAAGGAATAAATGTACTTAATATGTTAGCTAGGTATATTCAAAAAAGCTACACACACTACATCCATCTCTCTCTCTCTCTCTCTCTCTCTCTCTCTCTCTCTCTATATATATATATATATACACATGCACATATATATAATGACTTATACAAGATAGGGTAGCCCTGCCACCCTGTCCTATCAGTTATGCTCATTTAAAATGGAATTAGAGAATAGTTTTCCCTGAGAACTCTGAGGCTTGTTTTTATCATTTTTCAACAAAAAAATCAAAAAGTTACCAAGATTGTACTTGGCTTATTTAGCTACTTTACCTAAAGTCGATTCCTTTGCATGCAGTTGGGAATCTGAGGGGAGAGGAGAGGATCTGAGTGCCCCTACATTGCTCACGGTAGTTCTAAGATAAAACACCCAATTAAATTACAAGGTTATAAGATATGGGACTGAAAGCATCTCAACTTTTTACTTATACTAAGAACTTATTTCTCAAAATCTGTTTTTTTAACACTGAGAAAAGAAAAAGTTACCATCTGAATTGAGAGGCCTTGTTGTTAGGTTGTTTTTCTGTAGCAAAGTATTATAAATCAGAAAAAAAAATCAAATTGTCTTTTGCCTGGCCTGGTCGTGATGCACCAGCAATTATATTTTTGCTTGATGKATTTTTAAGGAAAGATTTTATCAAACTCATTTAGCTTTTAAAAACAGATGAAGAAACAATTTGTTCCACCTCTATTTGACCTGTTTTTCTTTCTTTCCCCTATCTTACAAAAGAGCTTCATTAACATATAAACTCATAAGTTAGATTTTTTTCTTTGACAGCAAATAGATGGGAATGCTTACAAGTATTTTAAATGTCATTTAAACTGAGTTATGTTATCCTTTTAGCTTGCGCTTATCTTGTGTGTCATTTATTTAGGTTACTTTTCCTTCTCCTCTATGGAACTGAAATGAATAAGCACAACAGTATTGGACTCAGTATGTACATGGGTAGTTATTTTTTATATCATCATTCAGATTAAAAATTTCAAAGCATAAAAAAACTAATGAAATATAAATGAATTCCTTGTGTATCTATACCATACCTTTTATTAGAAAAAATCTTCTTTATTTTGTCCATGCATGACAGTTGAGCTTGGACAACGTTAAGTCCATTGAAGTTAGGAGATTAAAAGACCACTCAAAAAAATTAAAATAAAAAGGCGGCACAGTTTGAAGAGAAAATGGGAAACTGAGGGACATTCTTTTTGATATCTATTGTTTTATACATAAGATATAGTCAGAATTTTGGACACTGAACAAGGAGGCCCGCTTCAGAATATTATAAGCAAAATGCTAAAGCATAGAAAAAGAGGAAATGAATAAGATGCTTTAACTATGAAAATAACTGAAAAGTTTAGTTGCAATACCAATCAAATTGCAAACCATATAGATGAAACTACTGTCTAGATAGAAGCTTCTCAACCATATAAAAGGAAGGTGGACTTTTTATTTCTAAGCAGTATCTGTCTGTGTGTTGTTCTTTCTGCTTCTATAATTTTAAAGGCTTAAGCAGAAAGAATTGGTCTTGGAGACTTAGCTTATGATCTTCTTGTTGCCGTGATCTTCTTGTTGCCATGATAAAAGATTAGCTGTTGACTCAAAAACCATGATATTTCTTAATTGGGTAAAAAGCACCAAAATGTTTTGAAGTGCTATCTGTTTAAAGATAGGTGATATACTCTAAGTCATTTGTGAGATTTTAAACACTGGAGATTTTTTAGCCTTTTTTTTTGTGTAGTCATCTTGTAAGCGTAGATATGACCAAACTACATCAGTGCGAATTGAACAGGATACTCCAAATATTGTTGGAGATCTATGTAWATGGCTTGGACCATAAAAGGCCATGTGAGCATAGCAATTTTGGGTCTCTTCTAAAGCATAACTGCTTATGCTAGCTAATCATCTTGCTCTAAAATAATAGCTTTATGTTTGAAAGACAAATATTCATTGAAGGTTTGCTTGTTAGATGTTTCTAAATAATTAAAACTCAAGAGAAAGTGATATTGTGAGGGAATGCAATGTTTTATTGACAAAAATGCAGTGTTTAATATTTTACATACATTTTCATATGTTTACATAGTAAAATGCAGTGTTTACCTTAATGTTTTATAGCCAGTACCTTCTGATTTAACTAGGAAAATGCACTGTAATTGGTGCCTTTAGTACACAGATGCTGAATTTATCAATGCACACTTTGATACAGCATAACACAAGCCCTGCACTTCAAAGAGATGTATAAATCCCAAACCCATAATTGCTACAGTGAAGTCAGCAACTATGCCTCTCTCTTAAAGCAAAAATAAATGCTTGGAAATATTTCCACTACGAAGCCAAAGAATATTTTAACTAACCTCTGACTTTTCTTATATCCCCAGACAAACCTTTGACTGAGGAATTTCCCTCTAATCTCTATATAGGCACAACACACTGAGACAGTGTCTGTCATAAACAATGAATTCTGAGTTATTTCCAACCCTCTAAAACAGAGAGAAATGCATCAAATTAGGTACATTTTAATCAAGTTAAATGAAATAATGACTAAGATTTTCTAGAGGATCATACCATAATAAGATTTATAATATGTTTTCTGGCCTAGAAAAATTGCAGAAATTCTACTATATAAAGCTGAGACAGCATTTCATGGTCTTCATATTCTCATGTGCCTGAAATGCCATTTTTTTCTAAAACTCACAGACTGTGAGGCGATACAGGTTGCAAGTTTTGTCATTCCAGCTTCCATCCATGTACATCTCCACACATTTTTCTTTCCCTTTGCCATTTGGCTCATACCGGTGCCACTTGGTGTAATTCACAGGTATGCCAGTCATAGAGCTGAACTGACCAAAAGCCTCCGTCTCTCTAATGCCTAAGTAAGCATATCTGTTATACTGCTTCACGATACCCAAAATAGCATTATTCTCCTCCTCATTCATGGGAGTTGCAAGAGTTCCTCCAGCCTCTTCACAGGATTTTAGTGCAGATGCAAAATTAACTTCCTTCCCATTGCTGGCAAGTATTTTATCTCCTACTTTTGTTATTTTTGCATTCAAAGCAAGCACTAGAAATTGAAAAGGAAAGAGCTAGTTAGTGTTTTTCTTTTTTTTTTTTTAATATTATTATTTCCTCTGGCATAGTGATGGGAAAGTGAAGAAAGATAAAAAACAAGAGAACAGGAGAAAATTAAGATTTGTGAAAGGAGGAAGAAAGCGATGAGGGCAAGAAAATGAGAATGAAGGAAAGGCTGAACAGGAAAGAAGCTGTTAAAATGTTATGAACTTATTACTTATTCAATAAGTATATTATGTTGCATGCAACCATCTGTCATCACTGCCTATTAAAGCAGGGATGTGCCATTACCATTTCCTTATGTATAGTATCAGCACTATTTATTTGTGTGCACTTCTGACAGTGCCAAGTTTTGCTTCAACTTTGAGCCAGGAAAACAGAGAAATTATAAATGCTTTGTGAAGTCTTTCCTTTAAAATTGTATGTGAGCTAAAAAAGTACAAACAGAAATATTACCACTTTCCAGTCTGGCAATTCGATGTTTTAAACTTGCTAAAACATTTCCCAATTCAGTGTCTAGAGAAGCAGGTAGACCTGTACAGATTAAAAAAAAAAAAAAAAAGTTATACAATCAAGTGAAAACCAGGCTCTGTTGACAGGAACAATTCCCTGAACAAAACTAATCACTTTACAAAACTAAGTCATGCATAACATGCTTCTCTTGCATCATCTAGGGTAAAGCTATAATTTCCCCATTATTTTTTTCACACAGTAGTTACTCTATATGCCTAATATCCACCGCCACCCCTAAAATGCTGATAATTCACTTATAGATAGAAGAGGTCTAGGAAAAACTGTAAAAGAAATGGGATGCATATTTCTAGGTTGCAGGCTCACATTTCTGGCATTCCTGTGAAAGTGCAAAGATGCTAAGATAGCATCTTAGTGTTTGGCTGTGTCTTTGACAAAGAGAATTTGTTTCATTCCGGTGATTGTTACTGAACAGGCACAAAGCAGAGTTTGGGGAGGGAACTTGTGTTATGGCATCAAACAGAATTCAGATCGTACCACTTTTTTCAGTTAGCTTACTGGATCCTTTGTGCCTTTACAGTGGGATCCTACTTTAATGTGAACTGTAAACACTGGTACAGGAGAGCTTCTGCACAGGCTGTGTGAAACATGTACAGCTACTCCAGCACTGATGGCCAAGATAGATGTTTTTTTGTTTTTCCATGCAAAAAGCCACTGGCAACAGGGGACTTGCACATGGAAGGAAGTTAGGAGTATGCTTGTGCGTTGCCACTACTCACAATTGAAAGAGAGGGAAAAGGAGACGCCCCAAATGCTGCTCCATCTCCTTCTGTCTGAGCTGCAGTGCTGCAACTCTGACTTATTGCACTTCAGGGCCAGCAAGAAACATATATTTGACYCAATAAGATTGCATTCAATTGACAGCCTTTACATGGGGATCAGCCTTTTTCACCTGGTGGTCCAGTGTCTCCTTTTTCTCCTTTCTCTCCTCGCTCTCCCTTGAGACCTTGAGGTCCAGGAAGTCCATCTCTTCCAGGAGGCCCCATTGCACCTCCAGAGGGTCCTATGGGACCTGGAAACAAGAAGCATGAAAATAAAATGATTTATATATACTTTTTTTTTCCAATTGATGTATATTCTGGGACCTTCAGGACCTAGAAAAWGCATTTCTTCTGGAAAGAAAATGATACCAGGTTAAGTAGCGTGTTCCTTACCAGACTACTATAACAAATAGTGCCTTCCAATACTGTAAAAACATATCAGAAGCTCTTTAATTACATTCCTACTTAGGGAATAACATTTTCTTCATACTTAAAATCCTTCTGCTGTGAAAGAATATAAGAGCACTGCGTGTGTGTGTATACACATATGTGCTCATATGTGTGTGTGTGTGTATTAATTTATTGATAAACTTATATAAGCATATAAAATATATCAATACTTATATTATTGATGCTTTAATATATTATTCATATATACACATACATCGATTGATGCTTAAATATAAAGTATCGATAAGCTGTTCATTTCCCCTCTTTGACCAGAAAAGGGTCTTATCTTTCAGAAAGAAAAATCAATCACTTCTTCCATCTTTTTGTTCCTCTGTGTTAAGGGTCAGTCTTCTTGCAGCCATCATGACGAAAGATTTGTTGCCAAACAGGAAGTTAGCTTGGGCTGAAAATAGGTGACAACAGACTTCAGTGCAGAAAATCTCTCTGGAAATCTACTGGAACTGGTACCCACTAGACATTTAAATAAAAGTACTATTGCTTTTTTTTGTCTAAATGAAAAGACAATGTACCACGAGACATTTGTTTCCTTACTGTAGTCTTACACGTACATGGGTACATGTGCAATAGAGTGAAGACAGCCAGTGCAGTTACCTGGTGGCCCTGGTTCTCCTCGCAGACCGTCCCTGCCATCCCKTCCAGGCAGCCCGTTGGCTCCGGGAGCACCAGGCAGCCCAGGTATCCCGGCGCACTTCTCCTCTGCACGGCAAGACCCGAGCAAAGCAGCTACTGCTGCAACCAGGTAGAACGAACAGGACAACATGATTGCTCAGGGCAGCTGTAAAAAAGAGTCAAGAACATAGTTGTCAGGAAACGATTCTCTAAGAAATATATTAACGCTGCAGAGTGCTTTAAAAATTGAAGTGGGGTTTTATCTTCTAGATTGACTCTATTGTAGAAGGCTTTTAGCTTCGTTATAGATCTACCTCAAAAATGGCTGTTTCTGAGGGCAAAGTTCAAGTGTGYTTCTATAGAGAAATGTTTCATTGAAATGAACTGGGCAGAACACGCTCTTGATCATGAACCTATGATGCCATATGAACCTATTATGCCATAAATTTTAGCGGTAAACGGTACACAAAATCTGTTTAAGCTGCAGGCATTTCTGTCTCTATTGTCAAGAACATTCACTTTTTGTGAGAACATGAAAAGCACCTCAGAACACACAGGCTGTACCGAAAGCATTAGGGAATTTTGTGGGGTGAGCCTCTAATCTCTGGCAGTGCAGGCCACGGGCTCCAGAGAACAGTCTAGTGAAGTGTCTGTGAAAAACCTGCTGTAGGTGGCTGAGAATACTTGTCCCTGAGATAAGGAAATGCAATTACATCAGGTAGCCTTCCTCTGATGCGGATCATTTGGTGAATTACATGCGAATGAATGACTACCGCATTCAACTCATAATTGGATCACGATGCAGAGTCAGAGTCCTGATCAGTCATCTAGTAAGATGGAAAAACAACTCTTCAGGTTTAATGACCTTCATCAGTCACTGCAATCTTGTGTCCTTCAGGCATCTCCTCATCTAGTAAAATTGTTAATATAAGCAAAGTACAAAAACAGTAATAAAAGAAAATGTAATTAAAAAATGCAAATACAACCACAGAAATGAAAAGGAACAGGTTTGCCAACTAGCTGAAATCTTCATTATTTATAAAAAAAAAAAAAAAACAAACAAAAAAACAAATTCAGCTTACCTTTCAGCTTCAAAGTGAAATGAAAGCGAAGTTCTCAGAAATCCCCTTTATATAGTGTGTGGCTTGTTAAATGCCAAAGTGTTGAAGTGGAGACTGGATAAGGAGGGCAGGAATGATTTTCCTGTGTAATTTCCTTACACACTTGTTATGCAAAGACTGAGAACAACATTGAGGGCTGAGACATTTCTTTTTTTTTCTTTTATAAGAACAGAAAGCAAACTTTCTAATTTCTATTCTTAATGGGGAAAAGGAAACCAATCTTGAAGAGAACATAAAACTCCTGGTTTACATACTCATACAAATGATACGGAAATTTAAAGACATTTGCAATAAATTTATTGATATTGTAACTAGATTCTTCTTATTTTAAAAGAGCRAAAATGATATGTGCTCGCTAGTGGCTTTCATTGAAGGAAAGGTGCTCTTACAAATTAGGGAAAGCACTGTTGCTTTCTGGATAAAGTCTGCTTTGGTAATCAGAATTCTAAGGTTTTCTTCTCTATAGCTGGCCTAGTTGCCTTTTCTTATGATTTCCCAGAGCGAGAGCTACATGTATATAGAAAAAAAAAAAACCAGGGCAAGCACATTGAGGAGATATCAGTGTCCCTTTACCGAACTATTAACTGGAACAATTATTACTAAAGWTCTGGATTCAAAACATTCCTCTAGGACAAGTACTTCAATGCAGATAGCATCATTTTATAAAACCTCTAATCACTCCAGCTGAAATACCTACTTCTATACTGTCCCAAGGAGGCCGATGAAAAGAGCTGGTGTTATGTATGTGAAGAAGGGTTAAGGAGCACACTGGAGGTTCCCTACCTTTTTTTGGAATCCTGCTGCATCCTCAGGACAGCCCGGGCACTAAACGTTTTGGCACAGTCAATAATGTGGGTAAATCCGTTTCTGAACGGCAGCCGAGCTCCAGGGTAACTACAGCTCTGGGGAGCCTCTGCTGTGGCAGGATGAAGTTAACGAACCTAGGTTGGGGAAAAAGTATTTTAAGTGATTAGTAGTCCAAATTTCTGTGAATTCTGCATATCACATAATAGAATTTCCTATAGATTCAGTCTGTAGGCAAGTCTGTAATATTTGTAATGGTTAATACTATTTTGTTGTATCATTTGTATACAAATTCATGCATACTTTAATAGTGATAATAGTAATAATTGTAAATTGCTACTATTTCTTGCAGCTAACACAATTTATACTTCAAAGATTTACCTAAGTACTGCAGTCATTAAGCAGGAAAATCAGTAAAACTGCACCAGCTACATATCTCTGTCCTTTCAGGGAAGTGTGCAATGAAGAAAACATGACCTATAATAGCTTAAGATGGGTAAAGGCTTATAAATTATTATCTTTATCTAAACCCTCAAAGACACATACATTTCAGTAAAATTCTTCTACTATGAGTCAGATTATAATTCAACAACAGAARCTGATAAGAGAAAACATCATCCAGCGTCAGAGATTACTAATTCTTTAGATTTACTTTCCTTTGTGAAGTGGCAGAGATTCAAGGAAACCAAATATACTACGGATGGAAGGAGAAAGAAAGCAAATACTTTTTCTGCAAGCTGGCATCGCTGTTCAATAACTCGGAGGCTCAGGGTTCTGCAATTCACAGGGAAGCCCTTTGTGGTAGTGCCTTTAGGGAGGGGCAGCAACAGCAGAAACCACCCAGGACACTTGAAGGTTTCATCCGGACTCAGACCCTTGTTTCTCGGGCCAGTCAATGAAGCAGACCAACAAGATTCCTTCTGATGACCTAGGAAGCATGAATTACACTGTTTTGTCAGTGCCAGGAAACCAAACCCAAACCTGACAGCCTCCTCAGCTAGGAGCAAAGGAAGATTAAGGAACTTAATGTTCAAAGATCCATTGTACCCAGAAAGATCACTTATTTAAGGAGCAGCTCTGCATGCTGTCCTCACAAAACTAGTTTGAATACTATTAAGGAGGGTTTCAAAACTGAAATCAATTTCTTTTATATAGCCTTTAATCTCTAACCTCCTGAAAAAAAGAGGTGAACTCTCCATTTTTCTCAGCTCACCATTCTGAAAAGCTGATTACCAACACCTTTATCACAGCCCAACACACATAAAGCTACATACTGCTCTTTCATATACCAGAGAATGCTATATAGCCACTAGTTTGGTTTAGCTGTCTCAGAGACATTAATCTTAAATGTATCATGTTGCTGCAAGTTCCTGATATCTGCTGTCTTTGTCCTTGACACTGCATTTGCATGGCAAGCAGCTGGGGCTGATTCTCCATGTTTGCCTGCTCAAAATGACAGTAATTTCAAATATTTGCCTAATATTTCTACAGTAACTTAATAGCACTGCTGCTGCTGTGGGTGTTAAAATACTCCAGAGGTAGGTACCTACAGTCCATTTTAAAAAAGACTGTTTAACATCAGCTTAAGCCTTCATCAGAAATATAGGGAATTAAACCCTGTCTCCTACTAAGCAACAAAGCAATGAAGTGTGTGCCCTCTTCCCCACCTCTGGTTTAATTTAACTGGGAGAAATCAAAATAAAACAGTCTCTCTGACTTTAGAAAGTAAGAAAGTAAACATCAATAAAATCACTTTAATTCTAGTTAAAGTGCATTTATGAAGTGCATTATGAGTGAAAAAAGTAGAGATGAAAGTACGCTAGGCACACTATTTATTGGGTATTATTGCTATGTGTCCTACAGACTCATACTACTTTACCAGGGAGAATGTAAGGGCTGCTAAGCTATATTTATGTTTATGAATATCCCTGTTTGAGTAAGGTACTGCCAGCTTACTCATACACTGCCAGTTCAGGGGTGGATCCCAGGGCACCTCTAGGTCCCAGTGTAAGCGGGTGGATGGAGGAGGAGATGGAACTGCTGAGTACAGGCAACGAGAGTCCCAAAGAGCAGTCCCAGCAGTGGCAGGGAACACAGGTCAGAGGACCTGGTTATAAGGGCTTGTCTCCTAGACTGTACTGAACTATCCTTTCACAGCGCTATGCTTGCAAAGAATATAAAATTTAAGTTTAAGAAGAAAAAAGAAAAGTCCTTTTCTATTTCTATTTTCTGTTCCAGGAAAAGCAAATTCCAATTATATTCAAGATAAGAAAGGGCAGGAGTTTCACAGCTTTTCTGAGAGAAGCAGGCATGGTTTTGCCCTGTCAAAAATATGTAACCTTAAAATTATTTTTGACAGAAAATCTACTTTTTATCTTCATATTATATCCATTTCTTTTTTTGGCCATACACTTGTGGTTAYTGCTTTAAACCGCCGATGCACACAGCAGCATACCACACGACCCGAGGAGCTTATTGTCTCACTAAGTTAGAATAACTGGGATGGACCCCTGGAGGAAAAAAAAAAAAAAGGGAATTGTTTCAGGGAAAGGTACTCTGCAGTTTTATTAGAGCTTATTTCTTAGTCTCTGACACATGAGGTGACAGTTAACATTACCTGCATATCTCCAGAAAGAATATATTTAACTCTTCCCGTCAAAGTAAAAGTTGAAAAGTACAGACTGAGTTTAACCTACAGTAGATAACATGCACCAAAAGTTACAGCTTTTCAGCTACTTCAACTGGACAGAATAAAGAATATTTAAGACTCATGAGAGAATGGCAAGCCTTCCTCTTATTTCAGTCCACAGGGGATTCCATGCCTGACATCAAGGTACCAAGAAACCAAGTGCAACACTGAAGAAATGATCAAGAAAGCTAAATCACAACGAGCAAAGGGCGACGAGGCTGAGCTCCTTCTTACTAGGTAATAATACTAGGCTGCAGTATGGGAACAGTACATGACAGTATGAGAGGTAGTTGCTGGATCTTGTTCAACAARAAAACAAAAATATCCACTGTAGTGTTAATTAGTAGTGCCTCTATGGGTTAAATATGTCTTTTCTTTAATTTTATTTTATTAGAAATAGTAACTAGAATAGTAACCACTGAAGTATCCTGCTATGTTATAGTTCCCATGGAGATGAACTGTACAGAGTCCCTCTTATCGAAAGTGGTAATAGGAAGCAATTTATGCTTCAACAGCCACCGGCCAAAATTACCTTGGAAACATTTGCTCATAATTCATATCTTGCCCTTATAGACAGCCACCTGGCCCTTGTTGTCAATTCAAAATAAAGATAATCTAGACTGCAGGTAGAAAAAAAAAAAACAATAAGGCCAAAAAACAACAACAAAAAAACCCTTCTAAACTGTTATTATGTTGTTATTGTTGGGAAATGGCCCATCTAATGTATTACTGATAAGTTTTACAACATCTATATCCAAAAGCAYTGTCAACATTTATTTCATTTGTGATTGAAATTCAAAGTCCTTGGGAAAAACCTCATTATTGAAAACACATGGCACAAAATAGAGTTATACAGCAAAATAATAAACTCACCAAGCTGCTGTTCAGGTCTGATGGTCACAATAAAATGAGGCTGCTTTGCATCTTACTGTAGGGAACCAAAGCGGCAATGAATTCCCAGGGAACACCACATATTATGATCATTATTGCTGTTACAAGCTGAAAATTAAGACAAAATAGGTATTATGGATTTTCATTTTGCACAGAACATTTCAGCAGATTGAACACCAAAACTCTACATGCTTTAGCTAATTGTGTTGTTGAAGCATATAGTATTTATTACACTGGATCTGTTCCTTCTATAAAGGCATATTTCAGATTCTTAATAGTGCACAGATATAAAGATGAACTTTAGATCTTTCAGGTACTAGACCAATCTTATGGCTTTTTGTTACTTTCATTTACCATGAAAAGTATCCACAGCTGCTCAGTGTAAATCTCTGGGAGCTTCAAGTGGGGGTATTGTTATTTAAAAAAAAAAAAATCCTCTAGAATGCCTTTTTTTTTTTTCTAAACAGAATAATTAAGGGAATATTGTGTGATAAGATAGGAATATGTAACTTTCTTTGAGTCTAGAAAGTAACCGCAGCACCTCTCAGATTTTCTGAGGTCTCCTTTGGAACTGTCCTTTGGAAGCCACCTTAGGCACACCAGCAGCTCAGCAGAAATATAAAAGATAATAAGAGAAAATTCAAAGGAAGATCTAGGAAACCGGTGGGAGGAGGTTCTTTGTCTAGTGCAAGCTTAGGAATAATTTCCAACTGTTTTCATTCTGCTCTGCGGTGTATTTTCATTTCTTAGCTAGCTGATTAAATCCCCTTAGAGTTCATCATGCTGATAAAAACATGGGACATATGAAAGGCCCAGAGAAAAATAGAAAGAAAACAAAAGGGGACAAACAGACCCCTAGAACTTCAAATTCCATCCGACTTGAACTGAGAGATCTTAAATATTGCTTGAGGCTGGAACATTTCAAAATAAAACTATTTAGTAGGTTATTAAAGCACAGCAGACAATTTAGCATGACAAATCAGAGAGAATGTTTAATAACCCTGTTCTAAAGCCTAAAAGTTCTTTTCCTTGTAAGACAAGAGAAACTCCAGAAAATTATTACTAATCGTTCCCTAAATATTCTTGCCTACATTGACGAGAGGGACGCAGGCTGTAGCACAGTCTCTACAAAGGCTATGGTGTCCTGGGCATCTTGCCATGCTGAATCCACAGGGAGAAGGAACCATGAGAGCGCTTCACACCTGCACAAGCAGGAGGCAGGATGCCTGTCGGGTGTTGCTGCTGGGTGGGAGCCAGCACTTGCAGCAGCACTTCACGTGTCCTTAGGGCGGCTTGAGGCTTACCAGAGCGCTCCGGGGACTCAAGCCAGAACACAAGCACAGCAGGCCTAGCCTTTCAGTGCCATTTGAGCAGTGTCTTCCTCCACGTGCGGGGCCAACCGGGGCCGCTGCAGCTGCGGGCACGTTGCGCAACGCAGAAACGCCTCGGGAGTGAAGAGCGGGCGCAGCCGGGCGCGCTGCCCTTCAATGGCTCTTTGCRGGGGCTCAGCCGCCTCCACAGCGCGCCCCTTGCGCAACGGCCGCCCCTCGGCCCGGGCAAGCGCCTAAGCCTGAAGTGGATGTCAAGTGTTCACTTGTAAAAACACTTTTTGAAAAACCTGCAGAAAACGATTGTCCTGGCAGTACAGTGTTACCACAAATGATGTGTTGCTCTAAGGAGCGCATGAAATCTTTGCAGTCTCAGTCATACCTCCCTGCTTTTCTTTGGGGCTTTTAATAATGATCTCGCCATGAATCTGTTTCTCCAGCATCTATTTTTCCCAGTTATATTTCCACAGAAACAGGGCCAAGCTCCTTAATAACCTACGCTTTTTATGCTTTTGGTTTTTAAACTTTCCCAAAGAAAGCATTCTGTACCAATGTAGCAGAGACAAACCACGTAAACTATTACACTTACCAGGGACTCAGGCAATTTGCTAGAATAAAGGCCAAATTCAAAACTGTTCTGACAGTGTTAGACAAAGATAAACATCAGGACAGCTGTATATAGAAGCACTGAAGGCTATATAGGCTGCCTATAACATGATACAGTGCAGAGAACATGATTTTAAGTGAACTGACATAGAATGCACTTAAGGCTTGTAGGCAATGTTTGAAACATTTCTTAAATAGCTTTTACAAGTGGTGGGCTTGAAGCCTGTCATGCTACACAGATTCCTGCTCTTCCTGACATTTGATCCTCATTTGTTAAAACAGAGGTTCTGCGTTAAGATTGACTTCAAAATATGAGATAAAAAAGAAACTAGCCATTTGTTTGTATAGGACTTTTCGCTTGAGAGMTTTGTAAGCTTTTTTCCATCATTGTCACGAAAGCTCTAAATGCACTTTGGTCTTGAAAATGAAAGCTGAGATTCTSCAAGTGCTGCAACTGCACTTCTAAGCTAAACACCAGGTACTAGAAAATGACAGCACACTGAGGGAAACGTGAGGTTTCATAGTAATATCTGCTTTACTAGTCTTTCCTGCATAAACATAAGATCTATTTAACATGCTTAGGAAACAATATCACTCTTTTCAGCTTAGCTGTCAGGTGCTTAATTTTTTAAACAAATACATAATTTCTTCTTCCTTTCTCCTTCTTGAAATTTAACCTTTTTATCTTGCTTTTATGCATACMTATATCTATGTATGGAGGATGGAGAAGGCGTGAGGAGTTAAAAGGTTATGATCTAGAAGAAAAGCTGCATTGACCCAAATACAGGTGACACTAGACCCTTAAAGTACAAGATAGGACAAGATAATCAAGACTAAATTATTCCTTAGAAATTTTGACAMTTTATAAGAGGTTTCAGGATTTCTAATTATACTTGGAAAGTGCTGTGTCCATCTCACATAGATAAAAACTTGCAGTAGAGCAAGCCTCTGCTCTTCTACAATCCTCAGTTACCTGTCTCAGAATGAAAAATATGCTTGGGAATAATACTCGGCATGGGTGAAGGCTGCACAGAGCAGAATTCAGAGAGAAAATTTATACCCTTTATACCCTCACACGTTTTTGCAGCTCTGTACTACTGATTTCTGCTAAGGCCGCAATGAAACACACTGAGATTCGGTCTCTGCTGCACTGCTGAGCTGATGYAAGACGGTTCCCGGGAAGCCAAAACATGCCAGCGCGTCCAGGCTCCCTGAAAGCAGACACCCAAGTGGGGCTGACTATTCCGCTCACGTTTTGTACACTTAGTCCCAAGTACACTCCAGCTGCTTCAAGTTTTATCTGTACTTAAACACTCTGCAGGGCTGGGAGAGGATGCCAGTCACATAAAAGCAGGATCTTCCTCCCACCGTGGAGCTGCGAGAAGGATTAAGGAGCATGCTCAGCTCTGCAGGATGAGCTGTGCCGTGAGCTGAACAGCCGAACCAAAGGGAGCCAAGAGCCAGCCCAGGAGTGGCTCTCATGCCCTGAAGACCGAGCCAAAGAGCTCTAGCTACCGATGTCTGAAACACCACCAGGGTCACAGACCGTAACAAGGGACAGTGAGTGCAAGTGCCTCAGGATACAGCCATTCCCTAGAGCTAGTCCAGGAGACCAGTCATGCTGCAAATGCCCAGAGGTTTGCCAGAGAGTTTAGATGAGACACGGGACTGCACTTAGCCTCCTAAGCTCTCCTGCAGCCTTTCTCTTCCTGGATATTCCTGGCCAAGCTACAACCTGGGAATTASTTTTCTTCCCTTATGTCACCAGGTGCTGGGCCAGAGGGCAAAGCCAGTGAAGGGTGCTAAAGCCACAGACTTCCCTGTGTAACACTTCTCCRCACGCTCCACGGGAGCCTGGAGAACAGGCACAGGAAAGCGATGCCTTCTTCSACAGCAGCACACATGCCAGAACTAAGGGCACGCTTCTCCCCTGCCCCGAGCATAACTTGTCCACTCCTTTCCTTTGCAGCACATCAAAACCATACAAAAAGTAAAGCTGCAAGTTGAAGTTACTACTGAATGGAATCACTTCCTGTCTTGTAGTTCCAAATTAAAAAAAAAATAGCCACATGAAAAATAAGGAGAAAGAAAAGAGCTTTTCAGGAATTCTGCATTTTCAGACATGACAGGATAGCTGTTACTATGCCTGAAATGGAGCTGTGTCTTAGAAAGATAAATCCAGCAGCTGATTAATGAATGCTGCTCTCTAAAGAATTATTCCRAAGGTCTGTGGAGGTCATGTTAACACCAAGTAAGACAGTTCATGTATCAGTGGTATAACAGAATATAAAGATCAGTTTGTAATTCATGCAAAGTGAATGGGTTATTAGACAGGCTGATTTAACCCTCTTGAAAACAAAGAGAAAACACTTTCAAAGAAGTAGAAATGTGTCCTTAACAGGTTGTGAGGAAGGACAAAATTTAGGGCATACTGGATAGACCTCATTGCAATATATAGTAAAAGTTCACTTACTACTTTCAGGTTTTGTTTCTGCCTCATGGACTCTTCTCCAGTCTGAGAGGATCTGCTTGTCCTTCTGGAACGAGTTGCTGCAGCTCAAAGACTCTGGCTCTGCTGCCTTCCGTAGTGGTTCTGGACATGTCATTTGCACATATTCATTTTTTTTTCTCACTGGGAAGATCTTGAACATCAGTCATGGGTACTGCTGAGCTGATCTTCACGCAGGACAACTGGAWGGTTCAGGCGACTGACAGTGGGAATCAGAGGCATTCATATCYGTAAAATATTATTCCAAACCATGTTCAAATCAGTGAACTTGGTCACTAATCTACTGGCTGACCAATTGTAGGCACGATACATCATGACTGTTAGAGCACTTCCAAATTAAAGGGTCATAAAAATATCACAGTGCTTTTGGACACTCTCACAGTAGAACTCAAGTTTTCATTCATTCAAAATGAATGTACTGGAGATTGAATTACCACCAAGTCCTAAATCTGGAAGCACAGCAGGACTGCACTTACTCCCTGGAGTGTCTCTTCTGTGTCCTAAATCAACCCAAATCTGTTTTTTGAATATTGCAGCATAGTCTTCCTTTTCATATAATAAATATTCATTAAAAGCTCCCAGACAAATTTTAAAAGCCTCTTGTTTTCATAGCTGCAGGACACCAACTTTTGAAGAAAAGGTATACAGTTCACTTGAGAATTCCATATGTGTTACAGTAAAGACAAGCAGAATATGATGCAGACCAGCAGATATGCCATACTCTAGAAAATTCATTCCATCCATCATCTTCTGTAATTACTTTTGCACTGTATCTGTATGACTTGCTGTATATAAATGTCACTACTTACACAGGTAGACTCATAAAACAAATGATTTGGGAAAGGGAAGTAGATGAGCACTGCCTAAAGTGTCTTTTTTTTTTTGTGACACTGACATAGCATTAAACTGTTGTAACTTCCGAGTTCTCCTCAACTAAACTAAGACAAGTCTGTATTTTTACACCTCATTTCACACTTTACATTGCTCTGCAAAATATACCAGAGGCTGAATTTCTTCATGCTGCACATGCAGCCTCTTTGTAGAGTCATGTGGGAGCTAAGTCTTTGGCCAAACACAGAAACCCTACTATTTATCGTGAACAAACATGACAACCGTCAAATATGTTGTCCTTGCATTTTAGCTGTTAGGTTGACTCTGTAATCTAGATATTTTATTCAGCAGCACTTAATCTTGCCTCAGAGAAAGTGAGAAAAAGGATGGGAAGGTGACTTGCCTCTTAGCTGTGTTTGTGCACTCACAGGTGTGCTGGAATCGCAGCCAAGACCTTCCAGAAACACTGCAGGAGGAAGAGGCACTTGACAGAGAGAGTCAATGAGACTCTCCAGAGTCATTCTGTTCTCTAGAATGAGACTAGTAAGTCTCAGTACCTCTCACAGGAGCACAAAAAGTGAGAAAGTTAGATTCAGAAAGATGTTCCTGTGTTTCTGCTTGTGACCGTTACCCCTTGTTCTGCCACTGGAAATTACTGAAAAGAGTCCGGTCCTATCCTTCTTACACCCTCTCTTCAGATATTTAAACATATTGGTAAGATTCCTGAGAGTTTTATTCTCCAGGTTGAGCAATTTCAGCTCTCTCAGCCTTTCTTTGTCAGAGAGATGCTTCAGTGCATTATCATCTTAGCAGTCCTTCCTTGGACTTGCTCCTGTTGCTCCACCTCTTTCTTATCCTGGGGAGCCCGAAACTGGATCCAGCACTCCAGACGGGTCTCACTTGTGCTAAGCAAACGGAAAGGACCRCCTCCCTTGACCTCCTGGCAATGCTCTTCCTAATACAGCCCACTGAATCATTGGCCTTTGCCACATGGGCACATGGCTGCCTCAGGACCAACGTGGACCCCCCCCCGCCCAGGTCTCTTCTACAAAGCTGTTCTCCAGCCACTTGGCCACCAACCTGTTTTTAAAATTATTATAKTATATGAACTCATTTTGAAATTCCCTCTCTTCAGTAAACATTTCCGTATTTTTAAAAGTATAAAATTTACTTTGGTTCATATTTTATCTTCAAGAGCTCATGAAGTACAGTTTAAGTCAATAGGCCAGACCACATGWGCAGGAAGACACATTTCAAACGTCGGTTGGCAGCCTGTCCAGGAGATATGCTTAAGAAGAATGTGATGCAGACACAAGGTCCTCAGCACCAAATGCTTTATCATACAGATCTTCCCTCTATTTAGGTAAGGGGCGGGGGGGTGGTCTTTAGCTTTAAAGTCTTCTTAAACTAAGTAAAAGAGAAAGGTTGGTCTCCAATTAAAACATTTAGCTTTGCACAAAGCCTTTTTCTTAATTGCTCAATTTTGCAATTTGATTGTGGATAAAAATCCTGGTCCTTCCATGATCCTTCCCTATCATGGTATTCATCTCTTCCTGCTAAATCCAGTCTGTATTTACCTTTCTGTAGTTTCATTTTTCATTTTAGTTGAAAGTAGCTAATGTCAAGAGAATCATAAAAGCCTACAGTATCACAGAACCAACAAAGCTTATGGGAATCTTAAAATCTCAAGGTGCAATGAAAATACCTAACAGTCATTTACTTCACTAATCTGCAAAACCATTTTAATGCTTTCTTTCTTGCAGGTCTGCATCTAAAGCATTTCTCTTTATGCCAAAAGCATCATATAGAATTCCAGTCTGAGACCGATCCTAAACCTTTCAGCTATTGCATCTCTCCTGAGACTCTTCTCTCTGCAACTATCAGGATTAATGGGTATCTAAACTTAGATTTAAGTATTTCTCAAGATAGCAGCTCCACTAGCAGTAAATGCCCATATCTTGAATTACAAAAGTTTTAAGTGCTTTCAAGTAGTCATGATATAACTGCTTCTCATTTCCATTCCTTTCAGAGCTTGTATATCACTAGCATGCCTTTCGTCCTCAGAATTATAYCTCAGTGCTGAATTATTCTCGGATCCCAGAAGCGCAATACTTTGCTGCCCTCTCTGAGCAGAATAAAAACAGACAAGAACAYGGTAAAGTAAAAGTTCTGTATAACATGTTGACAATTTGCACCACAGAAATTATCCTTGGTTTTAATATGAGAGTCAAATCTAAGACAATCATGTCAATCATGTTAAATTGTGTTTAACAGAAAAAAAAAAGCAAAAAACCCTAGCAAAAACATCTGATGTAACAACAAACTGACGTAAACTTTCAGAGTAAATGAGGCACGTGCTGAAGTCAATTGGGCTGATGTTCTTCCTCTTCCATCAGTCAAATTTAAAACAAAAACAAGTCCAAGGAAGGATCATTATATTGACATATTGGAGGAAGGACAGACAAATCACATCCAGCATGAATTTTGAAACTCCCTTCAATTACTTCTTTTTATATTAAGCTTCATAAAAGATTACCCACGGGGAGTAGCCACTCCTGTCATATTCCATCCGATAAAGCACAATAAAAAGTATAATCACTAGCATATTCAAGCCAGTCCTTCCCATGCCTCTGATGATATATATATAAATATATATAAATATATATAAATATATATAAATATATATATATAAATATATATATGTGTGGGGGTGTGTGTGTGTGAGAGAGATATATATAATGTTAAATATCCAGTAACAGGAAAGCTGACATCTCTGCTATCTGCTCTGAGGACAACAAAACGATGCTCATAACATTGGCCCAATAAAAGAAAACTTGAAAACAAACTTAAATTCTCAGAGAAGTTATTTCACTGGAGAGATTCCCCTTCACACAAACCTTCGTTTTTTCCTGCATTCATCTCCCTCAGGGGGTAATACGCAGGTATTTACAGTTCTCGAACTGGACATGACAGTTCATTATGCGAGAAGAGCTGAACTGCCTGTTTACCTTTTGGAAATCAGTTCTTGTAGTTAGATTTTGCAATGGGATTTCCTAGTAGCAAAATGAGTCCACAAAGAGATAGGCAGCAATTGGCAACTAAAATGGTTTAGAGAAAAAAAGCACTTGAGAATTCCAAATAATATTCCACATTTCTCAGGGCAAAATCTTAGGGAGCTGAAATATCAAACACAAATGAACAGAAATGCAAACTTGCTGGATTTTCATCTTTAAGACAACCTGCTGAGAGCCCTCTCCAGAAAGATGACCACTAAACTGACCACATTTCTGCTGGAATCTGTAATTCTGTGCTTTATTTGGGGAAGATGTGGTTTACTGGCTTATCTCTTACACATCTATCTTACACAACCCTAACTATTGCCTAACTCAGTCTTACCACCCCTATTAATGGGTACTGCATATGGCATTCTGGGAGCAAGCCCTTTGCTCTTTGCCTAGCCTTGGACGGATGTTGGCTGTGGGTTTACAGTACAACTGAACAACTGAACAAAAAATTGCAACACCTGCAGGCACTTGACATTTTGACTACAAAATTCTTCTCTTTTATTTAGCCAATGGATCCATTTCTGAGTAACCTAGGAGAGGGAAGGCAGTTTAACTTGAGCCTACTGGCTGCCTTCCCTGCAGTGTGCTCTGAGTTATTCCTGGAAAACCCTTGGCCAACTCAATCCTATCCATTTGTGTTTAAAAACAGGAGTATAGGCTTCAGGAAATAACATGGGAWGAAGGAATAAAACTTTAAACCTGTAAGTAAATTTCTTAACACGTGTCTTCCTGTAATGCTAGTCATACAGCTACCGATTAGATTAGATCTGGATTTGTAGAGCTGGTTAAGGTGCTATTGTGTGGACATGAGAACTAGAGTGGCAGCAACTGCCACGGTTACCTCTGCAAAATGAACAACAAAATTTAATGCTGAGGGAAGGGTCTCTGACTCTTCTGCCAGCACAAAACTTTCTTACCCACCAGATGCTCTGCTAGAGAGCTCCAGCTGCAAAACCACGTCAAATTCTCCATCTCCGTGGCAGATGCAAGGCTGATTTTGTTTTCAGGATCCTATTTCTGGGGCTGTTCTCCAACATGGTGGAATCAAACTGAGATGCTGTAGCTGGTCAGACTGCCTCTGCACTTCTTCCCTTCAGGAGCCAGAAGGCTTTAATCTCTATAAAATAAAATTTAAAAATCAGTTCAGAACAGCATTATTTGTCAGCCATAATTTGATAACAACATTGTAGAGCCAAGACCATTATATACCAATTTAGAATTCTGTAGATCTGTTTCTTTAAATAGGAACATGCAAAATAGGAAGCTGACCCTTGCTATTTTGGCCAAGAACCAGACCCTGGTACAAATATGCTAATGCTYGGACTCC